ATCTGCCTAAAAGAATATATGAGGATATGCTAGTTATAGAATTCACTTAAGAATCACCTTGAAATTTTCTGGAGTTGAGGAGTAATCTAGCATTCCTATTGTCATTAAACCCGAGAAAATAAGATTTGGGCAAGACAGCTTGACATGTTTAGCCAGTTCTACACAACCTGAAGGTTCAATACCATATTTTGCTGCAAAGATGTTTTTGCAAAGATACCACATGTTAATCTTCTAAAAGAATATGAACAATAAAGAAAATCTCCTCGAAAACAATGAACATACTACAGAAAAATCTAGGATGTAACTAATTACTATGATATTCGTGAATATCGTAACTGTTTTGTAGAGGATAGAAAGGTCATGACTTTTTTCACTTACACTCTTCCCCACTGGTATTTACTTGCACCAAGACCTTTAGAGGTTTCCTTCCCAAGTTAGCCACTGCCCGATCCAGATGATTAGCAATCTGATAGAATGAAGTTAGATTGCACCATTTAATAAACTACTGTAATGAATAGACATGAAGTTCCAATAACTGACTGATTTACAATTTAATAGCCTAAATCAAGGAAATAATTACAGTTTTAACATGGAGATATCTGCACTAATTTTTTTTATTTCTTTTTATTTTTTAACAAGAAACAGTTGCGAAACTTGTCAAAACACCAACTAATTATGGTAGCAGTTCATGAGCAATTTGAAATGCAGGAGCATATTCGATTAGAGGTACTTCAACAAAAAAGTTCATTAACTGGTAAGTTAAGACAACAACTGCAACCAGATGTAGAAAGAATCTAGAGATTTAAGCACCACATATTCAAATTATACATTGGATAAACTAGGGAGACTTTGTGTAGTAGAATCTTGATTCTCAAAGAGTTTAATCAAGGTAATCATGTATTTTTTATTTTTTTGATAAAGAGCAAGAACAGAATTCTTTTTTCTTAGCGGAAAACTAGTATAGAAATTAAAATCACCTTCTCATCATCTACAGTCTCGACCATGTAAAGATCTGGGACACTAGCTGCATAATAAAAAAAGTACCGCTAGTTAATCAAGTAAATACCATTAAAAAGACTTGAAATACTTAATGAAGAATAAACTAGAACTACCTGCCCCAAGACTAATCATGATGATTCTAAAATCTTATTTATTGAAAATACTGTAAAAATAAATAAATTTATAGTAGATTGCAATTTAAGAAATGGATACACATACTAATTTAAACTTCAATTTTTAGCAATCTAATGGGAGAAGAATTATGAGTTCAAGGTAAGGATGAAGTTAAACAATTCAAGTTATTGATTGGCTGAAGTAAAAAGCATGATCTTGCACTTCTTGAAGACAAGTTCTTGGGAAAAGGAAGCCAGAAGTAATGTTTAAAAATGATCACCAAGTACATAGTAGGAAGGCTAAATTTCACAAAACCCTCCTGAAGTTAGGGGTATTTCCTACGAAAGCCACCTGAACTTTGCTTATTCCACTAAACCCCTCCTGAAGTTAAGATGTCTCCCCTAAACTTTCAACTTCCCCAACGGACCCCTACCTACAAATGCTAAATAACTAAAATGTTCTAGAGAGATAAACCTCCGATACGGTCTTGTTTGCCATTGGCAGGCAACGAACCCCCTTTCACTGGGTAGGATGTTTTTTCCCCTCTCAAGGACATTTAGCCATTTGCCATTGCCAGTAGGGAGAGTGTCGGGAAAAGTTGAAAGTTTAGGGGGAAATGCAGTAAACTTTAGGGGTTTTTGTGAAATTTACCGTAGTAGGAGCTTATAAAGAACTCCAAGCAATTAAATATGAAATTTTGGTGTTCATTGTTCAAAAGATAAACTAAATTCTCATCAAATAAAGAACTGAACAGCTTACAGACAAGCTGAAAACAAATCAAATTTAAACTCTAGTAACAGTCAGTAGATTACCAAGAAGGGATTTGACTTTATTGCTTTGCAGGTGGCCAATGAAATGCCAATCAATATCTGCAGGAAGCTGAGGAAAAGAAGAATCAATAAGAAAATACTGCAATCCTAAAGAAATATGCTTGATCAATTATTCAAAAATCCTAAATTCTCTTCCAGAACAAAAGCAAAACCTACTTTACTACAAGCCTCAACAAGAAATTCAGGTAAATCAAATATCTTTTAAAATAATAAGCTATTCAACTCAAACTAGTGCTGATCAGTTTATATATTCAAAGGCACTGTCTAGATTTTCACAAAATTTACCAGAATTTAGCATAAAGGTTTGTTGCTCTTGTTGTGTTCTTGAAAATATTATGAATTTGAACCATCAGTTGTTAGAGGACAACATCATTGTATCCTTATCCTGTCATCATCCAAAGTGTGCTACAGTATCAATGTATTCATATCCTCTCACCGATCAATAAGCACGCATTTATCAGAAATTAATGAAAGTCAGCAGAAGTCTGTTATATGCTCCAAGAGACCTCTGCTTGCTTGATTCAATCAGACAAACGTCATACTGCTTGTCTCGAACTCTAAGCCGATGTGGAATCTAATGCATACGAACATTTTCAACCTCTTTCTTGCTTCTTTAACATATCTAGCTTCAGACCATCTGCACTCTGCAGTGAATGGCAATGGGATATAATATGCAAGTATCACCATCAGAGATCCCCCCCACCCCCCATGTTCGTGAACCTAGAACTCAAAAACTAGGTGTGAAAAAACCATGTCAATTTCCCCCCCGTCTCACCATCTTCTATCATTTGGGTTCACTTCCACTGAGAATCCTTCTGTCGGGGATCACTTGTGAATTCAATTATTATGAAGAACAAAAATGCTTACGTTGCTAACCAAAATGCAAAATTAATGGCAACAAGATCGCAGCAGTAATGAGATTTACAATGCAAAGTGTTGCACTTTCACAAGAAACTAACAAGAAGTTGTCATTCAAGATTCAAACTGAAACAAATGATCAGCCAAAATTCCATCAAAAATTCAAGAATCGAGGCCAATTCCGAACCTGAGGAGCCTTCTCGACGAGTTCTTGAACGTAATTCTCACCAAAAGCGCGGTGGCCGGCGTCGTAGACCTGGCGAATGAGAGAAGCGGCTTCGTCTGGCTGACGGCATTTACAACCTACGTGATCGCAGGCTACCGCGACCGCTCTCGCCGCCTGCCGGCGCACCCGTAGAAAGCCGATCGGAGGGCCGCGGTCCGCGCCCCCGTACGTGGATGCCGCATGGCGAGGAGTTTTTGGAGTTTATTACGGTTTTGCCACTGGAGGAGAGATTGGATGAGAGCGGAGTCGAGAAGAATCCCTCTTGGATTTTGTTAGAAATTTGGGGGAAAATGTCTTGTGGGTGGGTAAACTGGGCTGGTGGTAAAAGGCCCAAGTTAAGTCGGGTCAGAAGGTGTATAGTCCAGCTCACACAGGCCCTGTCGCAACCTTGTTGTTGTTTATAATCCACATATCAAATTTATCATTTGTTTTTTTATCAGAGTTTTCAAAACTTTTTAAATACAAAGATTATGTTTTTTTATGGTTCAGTCGTAGATGGATTACGGTATTTGGATTATGTACATATATGGCGACTAGTCCGCTTAGACGTACGCCTAGGCTTAGGCGGTACCTAGGCCGCCTAACTAGCGCCTAGCGCCTAGGCGGTATTTAGGTTGCTCATCTAGATTTTACGAGCGTTTAGGGGAGCATTCTCTGCTTACGTGGATTGCACCCTATAGGTCTTGATTGTGATTTTAGGTGTCATAGCCTACACATCCTCCAAACTCCATTAACCTCCAAATATGAATACCTCCACTACCTCCTCCAACCTTCAGCAAAGCCTCATTGACCACCACTTAAATGAAGAAAGAAAAAAAACGCTCAGAAACCGCTTAGACGTCCGTCTAGGCGACTAAGCGCTGGGCGTCAAGTCCGACGCCTAGAAGCGCCCAGCGTTTAATGTAACATTGTCTGGAAGTACATATGTATGTATGTATATTGATAGTGAGGATGCTACATCTCAACCACTTATCTAAAAAGATTTGTTGGATGAAGAGTAACATTTTTTTTTCTCTTTTTATTTTACGACTTTTAAATGAGTGGTTGTGATATAGCCACTTCAAGACCAAACTTTGTCTTTGGTAGTGATGATATCTATTTTATTCTTTAGCATAATTTCTAACAGATTAATCATCATTTTTACATATGGGCGGAAATTTAGACTCTGCAGCGGCAACTATATCTAGTTTTTTTAAAAGTACACTTTAAATTAATTTTCAATGGGAATTAAATCTGTACTGCTCTCATACCATTAGGCCTGTCCAAAAAGCCCGCCGACCCGGGTCCGGCCCGAAAATCCGGGCCTGGCCGGGTTTCGGGCCCGGGTCCGGGCTGTCTCAGCGGCGCCCGGCCCGGCCCGGAATAGGGCCAGCGCCGGGCAAAAATCCGGGCCGGACAGCCCGGGCCCGGAGCCCGGCCCGGTGCCAACGGTCACCATTGGTGACCGTTGCGGCCGGGCCGGGCTGGCCCGGTCCGGCCATAACGGCCATAAACGGTCTTTTGATCGTTTTGTCCCCAAAAACGGTCAAAAAATGGCTATTTTGTGAGGTTATTTTGGTCATTTAATTAGGGGACTGGTTCTATAAATAGAGGGGGGTTTTCATTTGTTTTCTTCACACCAAAACTCATCTACTTCTCTCTTATACTCTTATACTCTCTTATACTTTTATACTCTCTTATACTTTCTAATCCTTTCATCAAATGGCTTCCGGATCTGATTATGAAGAGCAAAACCTATCTCCCGATCTTGAAATGAGTCCTCCTACTGGGTCTACTCCTACCAAAATTAATCCCGAATCCGGTGGCGACGAACCTGCACCAAGAGCTTCTAAAAGGTCAAGATCCGATGTGTGGAATTTTTACGAGAAGATCGAAGTCACCAAGGATGAACACGGAAGGATCCTCACCTAGAAGGCTAAGTGTGCGTTGTGCGGCAAGATTTTTCAAGCTCATCATAAGAGCGGCACCAACCACCTCAAACGCCATTTAGATAAACACAACAAAGGCCAGACTCCTCAAGGTGATATCCGACAATCTATGATTTCTCAATCCTCCTCTTTTGGTAGTCTCGGTAGTTGGAACTATGACGCTGCCAGAGCCAGGAAATGCGTAATCAGGTTTATCTTTCTTAAAAACCTTCCTTTTAAATTAGTAGAAGATGATGAATTTGAAGATATGTTTAGAGATGGTTTTTATCCTACATTTAAAAAAATTTCTCGTCAAACCTGTCAACGTGATATTTTAAAATATTATCAGGAGGAATAAGGAAAAATAATTTCTCATTTTAAAAATTAAAACTGTAAATTTTCTTTAACTTTTGATATTTGGACATCTAGAGCACAAATTGGATATTTATGTATCACAGCACACCGGATTGATAAAAATTGGCAAATATTTAAAAGAATTGTTTCTTTTATTGCAATAGAAGAGTCACATACTGGTATTAATGTTGCAAATTTAATAATTGAAGAACTTATGAAATTAGAAATTTCAGAAAGAATATTTTCTCTTTCACTAGATAATACAAGTAATAACAATGTAGCTGTTGATTTTATCAGATCAACTTTGTCATTGCCATGTCATGGTGATCTTTTTCATATTAGGTGTATCTGTCATATTTTAAATTTAATTGTTCAAAGTGTATTTACTGAAATTAAACCCATGATAGAAAAGGTTAGAACAGTTGCTTATATGCATAATGCTTCTGAACAAATACTTAAAAGATGGAAATAATTTTGTAAAAAAAAAATGTAAAGCCCAGACTAATTCCAAAAGATGTTGACCATAGGTGGAATTCCACCTATGCAATGTTAAGTGTAGCAATAGAATATAAAGACATTATAACTGATTTTATAAACTATTATGCTTTTAGTTCTAGTTCTGGTAGCACTTATGGAATAACTGAAGATGAATGGACAATTATATGTAATTTAAATAAAATGTTACAAGTTTTTTATGATGCTACAATATTATTATCTGACTGTTATTATCCAACCATTACTTTAGCTGCTTTACAAATTTTAAGTATTCAAATTTTTTTGGGGAAATATCGTATGGATGATACTTTTGGACCTATGATTTTTCAAATGGAGAGCAAATTTAATAAGTACTTTAGGCCTATTTCTCATATTTTTGGTTTGAGGGTTCTTATTGATCCATGCTTGAAGGATATTGGCCTTCGAAGTTTGTTACAATCCTTGTATGATAATCAGATTATAGACTTAGATGATGGAACCACCCTTACTGCTACTACTCATCATTTAGCTATTAGAAATTATTTTCAAACCTTATATGATGAGTATGCAGCTAGACATGGTGTAGCTACACAACAGTCTACAGCTTCGGTTTTTTCGAGCTCATCCCGAGGTAAAAGTGTAAGTTTTGATAGGTATGCAATGGTAGCTAAGCTAACTGGTGGATCTGGACTTGGATCGTCATCATTGGAGGTTTCTAAAATAGATGAATATTTATCTGTTTCTTTAGTTAAATGCCAAGGAAATGCTTTAGATATTTTGTAATGGTGGAAAGTATATGAATCAGTTTCATATCCTATACTTTCCACCATGGTTCGTGACTTACTAACAGTGCAGGTTTCGACGGTAGCTTCGGAATCCGCCTTCAGCACAGCAGGTCGTTTGATCGACGATCACAGGACATGCTTGGATCCGTATACTGTACAAGCGGTGATGTGCCTACAAGATTGGTGGAGGTACGAGAAGCGAACGCAAGGCATCGATCGGATGGCTGGAATTGAAGATAAATTTGAAGAATTGAGACTAGCAGATAGATATAAAGAATAAATAATATTAATCAAATTGTAATTTTTATATCTTAGCTTAAAATTTGTAAAGAATTATTTTGAAAATAGTTACAAATGATAGTGATATAGGTGAATAGGTGCCAACCTAGTTGGGATTTACTTATCTATTGTGATGCGATTAATTCCAAAATAAATTTGTACTTGTAATTTGTAAATGATTTATTAATTATTAATAAAGAATTTATTTTTATAATTTTTTATTTGTAATTTATGTTATTTTAAGTGATTAATAAAATTATTGTTTTTTATTAATTTTTCTTGTCTTTTTTTATAATTTAAAATTTAAATAAAAATTAAAAATTTTGATAAAAAATTTAAAAAAAATCCGGGCCAGCCCGGAACACGGCCCGGGGTACCCGGGTCCGGGTCCGGGCTCCGGTTTTGCCCGGCCCAGGCCCGGATTTCCGGACCGGACCGGGCCGGGCCGGATGGACAGGCCCACATACCATGTGAAAGGACCGCCTTTGAAATTGCGGTGAGTGTTGTAAGTTATAAATCTAAACTCTAAACAAAAACAAATTAGTGGAAAACCTTCATCTTAATTCCGTCATTCACTTGTATATAAAAATAGTAATTAAGGAAACAAAATAGGAGGATTAGTACCTTCATGTTAATTCTGTCATTCAGTTGGATACAAATATAGTAATTAAGGAAACAAAATAGGAGGATTAGTAATCCCTAAAGAAACGTGTTATGAGTTAGGGTACGGTGAAGAGAAAATTTGGAGGTGTACTTGACAATGGGGGTAAATATGAGGTTCTATTTGCCCAAAAAAAAAAGTATTTAACTTTATTAATTTTTTTTATTTATTGTAACTTAAATACCCCCAAATGTACATCCATTTAGTTTAGGTAAACGTGTCTTTAAAAAATTAAATATAAGACGCTAAACTTAACAACGGAATCATGTAAAAATGGTTGACGTGCACTTACAAATACTTCCGTAATTGCTAACTTGCGCGGCGCCCACGCATGCATTCAAGTTAAAGAAACTTCAACAACCACGGCATGCACATATCAAGCCCCTAGAAAAGGAGAGGGCGCTAATTCTCTTCGTGGGAATCAACGCAAGCAATTCCCATTGACCTCTTACTTCACATAATCTCTCAATTAAGTTAAACAAAAATCACCATAATGACAACCAATCACTTCATGCCACGACGCCAAAATTTTGATTTGAAGTCAGGCCGGGCCAACCTTTTCCTTGCTTGATGTGCATGTAATCTAATAATAAGATTATATTTACGAGTCAACTCTTAATTCCTCAAACTCTACTCCTCTTCCTTCATCTCTATCTCCCATATAAGTTCTCATAACCCCTTGTACCAAGCCCCCTAATTAACTTCCCTCAAACCGAAAAGTAATACACCCCTACAAAAGAAAAGTTGTCGCCCGTACATATTTACAAACTCTATCTCCCTTAGCCATGAGGAAAGCAACCATCATCCTCATGGCGATCGCCTTCGCTTCTATCGCCGTTATAGCAAGCTCATTTCCCATTGAAGATCAACATCTAAGGAGGAGCCGTTTCCTTGCGGGTCATGGAGGAGGCAGCGGTAACGGAAATGGAGGTGACAACGGTAACGGAAATGGAAATGGAGGGGACAACAGTAACGGGAATGGACATGGAAATGGAAACGGTAACGGTAACGGGAACGGACATGGAAATGGAAAAGGTGACGGTAACGGAAATGGCAATGACAATGGTAAGGGAAATGGTAATGGCAACGGAAACGGTAACGGAAATGGAAAAGGTAACGGTAAGGGGAAGTGTCAAAGATGCTATGCTAAAGGAATGGAGTGCTGTGGAGATTCGTGCATCGACATCAACACCGATGCCTTGAACTGTGGTGGATGCGGCAATATGTGCAAGTTTACCGACTCATGTTGTCAGGGTAAGTGTTTGGATTTGATGTTCAACCCTAGAAACTGTGGAAGTTGCGGTAAACGTTGCATGGTGGGAACCAAGTGCTACTATGGAATGTGCAACTATGCATAGAGAAATATTAGTGGGATTTATCTATTGAGTATAAGATTTATTTGGAGTATAGAAATAAAGGCATCTTATGCTTGTCATTGTTACATACTTTTTCTTTTTGAGCCAAGAATATTGTTAACATATATACTTGTAATGGTTATTTATACTACCTATCAAAATGCGTACTAAAGGAATATAAGTGTTATTGTTGAATGTTTGTTATACACACTAATTTTCTTTAGAGTGTGGTGCTGTTTGTTAATTACTAGTATGTCTTAATGTACGAAAGAACAAAGATTGTAGGTTCCTTGTATTTTTGTGATTGTAATTTGCTTGATTTCCCAAAATTAAGCATGCATATATATTTCAATAATATGATTCTTTACGTCTTTTGGGCAAGCTAATCAGAGAGCTTTTACTATGAAATGTACAAAACTTCACTATATCAATCAAGGACTTAAAGCTTAGCATAATGACGTCTACATTTTGATGCATAAAAAGTGTCAAGTTTAATTTTAATCATAAAGCAAGAACTTACCACACAAAAGGTTGATAAACTGTGAGCAAACCCAAGAACGCAAAAGTAGACTTATACCTTAAAGATTCTGATTCATTAGAGCAGCTCCAACCGGGCTGCATTTCTCCAAAATGCAGCCCGGTTGAGCTCCAACCGGACTCCAAAAAATGGAGTCCGGCTGCAAAATCTCCAAGTCGGCTGCATATTTGGAGCTTTTGCTCCAAATATGCAGCCCCCCTCTATTTCCCTATTCCCCCTATTTAATTACAATAATACCCTTCTAACTAACTAATTATTTTTAGATATTCAACTTAAAATCAACATAAGTTTATTTCTACTAATTATTTTTAAATAAAAGTTTTACAGTTGGAAATGTTTTGTCGATACCTTCAAAATGAGACTAATATTGAATAATATTAATTGAAATATAAAATTTCAAGAACCAATTAATTAAAAATGAAAAAGTCATTATTTCATTAGTAAAAAAAGTTACATCGCTTCATTTCCATGTCTTTCCCACAAATGTTCAATCAATGCATTTCGAAGTGCAAAATGAGCTTCTTTGTTTTTCAACCTCTTATGTCGAGCAAGAAACCGTTGGAATCGTTCAGTTTCCGTTATCTCCATATTTTCAGCATTCGGAATTGATTGTGGAGTTGAAATGACAACATCTTCTTGCTCGTCGCGTTCATCTTCGACAATCATATTGTGCATTATAATACAAGCAGTCATGATATCATGCAGAGTTCGTTTATCCCAAAAACGGGCTGGCCCCTTGATGATAGCAAATCGTGATTGGAGAACACCGAATGCCCGCTCAACATCTTTTCGACATGCTTCTTGCATCATTGCAAAATATTGTTTCTTTTTATCATCAGAATTAGAAATGGTTTGAACAAGTGTTGGCCATTTCGGATATATGCCATCGGCCAAATAATAACCGACATCATAATTTTTTCCTTGAATTGTGTAATGAGCAGGAGGAGCAATACCTTGTGATAGATTGTCGAACAAATTAGACGACTGCAATACATTAATATCGTTATTGGATCCTGGTAAGCCAAAGTATGCATGCCATATCCATAGATCATATGATGCTACTGCCTCAAGAATAATGGTTGGACCTCCATGACGACCTGAGTATTGTCCTGCCCATGCTGTTGGACAATTTTTCCATTGCCAATGCATACAGTCTAGACTTCCTAACATTCCTGGAAAACCTCTTTCTTCGCCCTTTTGCAATAACCTTGCAACATCGTCGACATTGGGAGTCCTCAGATATTCATCTCCATATACTTCTACAGTTGCTCTGCAAAATCTCTTTAAACACACAATTGCAGTTGACTCACCGATCCTAACATATTCGTCAGTACTATCTGCTGATGTTCCATACGCCAACATGCGAAATGCCGATGTAACTTTTTGTAAAGTTGATAGCCCAAGTTTGCCGACACCATCCATCTTCTGTACGAAGAAGTTGTCATGCTCACGTACCGCCTCGACTATACGAAGAAATAAACTCCTGTGCATCCGGAACCTTCTACGGAATAGGTTTGCACCATATGTAGGGTTATCAGAAAAATAGTCATGGTAAAGTCGAGAATTACCTTCTTCCCTCCTGTGCATCCGGAACCTTCTACGGAATAGGTTTGCACCATATGTAGGGTTATCAGAAAAATAGTCATGGTAAAGTCGAGAATTACCTTCTTCCCTCCCGCGATTGATCACCAAATGACCAGGAACTGAGCCAATACGCTTTGGCCGCTCTGCCTCTTGAGAGAGATAAGTCATTATTTTACTATTAGAGGCATGTACGCGAACTAAGAGTTCATCTTCCTTCTCCCATTGTGTCATATCTTCCTCCCAATCTTTAATGTACTGAGACCATATTTCGTCGTCAGAAGAAGAAGAAGAAGAAGAAGAAGATGGTAGTTGTGACGGTCCGGCTCCATAGTTCATTGATGAAGAAGTTATTTATAGAAATAATCATATAAGTTCTGAGTTATTTAGAGATGGATGTAATGTCATTATATAATATGACTCCCCGCATTGGATTCTTTTCAGCATTGGCTTCTCACCCCCCACATTGGATTCCTTTCGTGTTGGAGACTCCCCACATTGGATTCTTTTCAGCATTAGCTTCTCACCCCCACACTGGATTCCTTTTGTGTTGGAGACTCCCCACATTGGATTCTCCTAGTGTTGGAGACTCCCCGCATTGGATTCTTTTCTTGTTGGAGACTCCATACATTGGATTCCTGGTGTTGGAGACAACCCACATTAGATTCCTTTCGTGTTGGAGACTCCCCACATTGGATTCTTTTCAGCATTGGCTTCTCACCCCACATTGGATTCCTTTTGTGTTGGAGACTCCCCACATTGGAGTCTCCTGGTGTTGGAGACTTCCCACATCTGATCCCTATATAATACTTGCACAATTTTCGTATCTCCATCACAACTCTTCTTATTCTATATTCATAACTCTTTACATTCCTCCTTAGATTATGGCATCTAGTCGTGGAAAATCTTTTTTACAAGAAGAAGACCAAGTTTTATGCGCTACGTGGCTCGAAATTTCTCAAGATCCAGTCATGGGTTCTAATCAAAAGAAGGACAAGCTGTGGGAACGAATTTCTGCTTTATTTCATGAAAGGATTTCCAATATTTGTAATGCTCAAAGGACTCCGAAGTCTCTTTCATGCCGAATGCAATTAATTATGAAGGCCATCAGTAAATTTCGAGGATGTATTCGACAAGTCGAGCGCTTAAATCCAAGCGGTGCTTCTGAGCTTGACATTGTAAGTATTTTGAATAACATAAATCTTGATTATCATCTACTATCATGTTATTAATAAATGTTTCTTCCTCTCTTGTGGTAGATTAAACGTGCTAGGATAATATTTGCAGAAGATCCAGAAGAGAGAAAGGGGTTTCTATTTGATCATGTTTGGTCAATTTTAAAAGATGCAGAGAAATGGGCAAATATAAGTGTCAGATCGCCTGCAACTTCCAAAACTTCAAAGTCCCGCTCATCTCAGGGATCAGATTCAAGTTCTCCTGTCGTCGACTTAAATGACGATAATGAGGAATATACTCATAATGACGAAGATATGATAACAAGTCGACCGACAGGAAGGAAGAAAGAGAAGATGAGGAGGCGACAGGCAAATGAATCAAACCTCGACTTGGAAACTCTCAATAAAAGCAATCAAGAAATTGTCGATATTTTAAAAAAAAGTCATGGAGAACGAGAAAATGATAGAATAGCAATGCACCAAATTATGATGTTAAGGGCCGAAAACGAAAAGAAAAAATTAGATATTCAAAGGGAACGTCAGGAAAGTAAGATTATGTTGATTAATCTTGATACTATTACTGATCCTTCGGAACTAATAGTCGTGGATTTAGTAATATATTAATATGAATGTCTGTTTAATTTAATCCGAATGCCTATTTTATATTAATACATTTAATAATATTATTACTAATATTATTTATATTATATAACTTTTATTTTTTTTATTTTTATATATTCAAAATGAGAGTAATATTAAATAATATTAATTGAAATATAAAATTCCAAGAATTAAAGAAAATTAATTCTATTTCTTATTATCAATTCATTAAAGAAAATTCATTTTATTTAAATATATGATTACATTATCAATTCATTAAAGAAAACTAATTTTATTTAAATATATGATTACATTATATATTTTAAAAATAAGTAAAAGAATTAAAAAATTGAGAGAAATTAAAATAGAGTTGGAAATGGAGGAGTATGATTGGAGTTGTAAAACTCTAAAATGGCATATTCCATAGAATATGCCAAAGTGGGGACTGCAAAATGCAGTCCCCATTGGAGTTGCTCTTATTGAAAGAAAATAAATTGAGGACTATGTTAGGGTCTGTATAATATTCTCTCATTGAGAGCCTCTTCTTCAAGGAGCACAAAAAGGTGAAGTATCGTCTCTATGGAAATTACATGCGAGCTTTTGCATAATTCAAACAAAAGCTAACTTGAAAATACCTCTATTGACCCCATTTGATTCAGCAGTTGAAGCAACAAAGGCATGTGACAGCCAAGCCTCAGCATAAATATAATATGTGAAGTTTTGGTGTATTTTCACTCAATGTCTCTCTTGATGCTGGCTCATGGTTTTCTCTTTGTTTTTAACAGAAGAAAGAGTCCATGTGCATACAATGCTTGTTAATTTTCCATTCTCTCACGTGATATTTTTGCGCGTTACCAACAAATCTGGCTAAATTCACGTGGGTGTTATTTACATTCACACGCTCGCTTCATTGAGCACTTTAAAGACTCGATGCCGGGGATTTTTAAGCTTCAATTAGAAGAATAATCACTTGCTTTTATAGGTGGCTGGATTCTTTTGTAATTGGGGTTGGGAAATGGCAACATCATCATGCAAAGTACGGCGTCGTTGAAGCGGTAGAAGAGAGGTTTACTGTGATGAGACATTATTATTATGCCAAGCAAAAATGCAAGGAAAAAAAGTTACTGCCCATAACAATGAAATCATCTGACTTGACATGTTTACTCTTTGAACTAATAAATTGCTGGGTATACATCATAGCACCCCTAAATTCTTTCAGACTTTCACATTAGGCTACAAAATCTCCATATTTTTTATTTACATCTCCAAATCCTTTTAAGTTGTTTCAAATATTTTTTTCCTAGTTAGATAGTTTCATAGACCTACAACAGAGCCCCTAACATTTATGGGTTTTTGCTTATAAACAAAAAAATTAACTCTCATTTACTTTGAAACCCACATTTTTTAAAATGTGTTCTCATTCGCTCGAAATACAAAGTTTACTTACCTTAAATCCAAAATATAGAAAACAAAGCATACATGTGCATGCAACAGGATGTACAGCTACATACAACAGGGGGTATAGCTGCAAATAGCTTAATATAGAGCCATTGGTAGAATTAAGAAGAAAAAGGTTCACTAAAAGGTCTCAAAAAATAGTCGACACCCTTAAGCACCATATTATTTGATTATTATATTTCTAATATTGTCATTATCTAATAAAGATGCACAAGTGCCTTATATTTCCCAAAAAAAAATATTTTCTTTAACTATCTAATACTGATGAATCTTATTGTTTTCAAATAATCTCACTCAAATCAAGGAAACATAACGCACTTATGATCGTCCACAAGTATACATTTTCTCATTTTATAAATTACAGTAATCAAATATATACATCACCAATCAATTCTCTCATGTGGCATTGGAATTATCAGTTCCAACCGATTGAGCAGATGAGTGGACATTTGGATCTTGGACTTTCTTTCAAAATTTTGGGATCACAGATCTCTAATGAAGCAAATAATCAAAGACTCCAGATCGAATCAACTTTATAAATTTGAGAATTTCTTATGGAAGAAGCTCCCTGTAGACTCCATATATTTGTCTTTCACATGAAGATATAACTTGGCAATGTCGATGAGCTGAGCGCATTTTAGATGAAGTTGAGGGTTTGCCTGGATAAATATAGCAGTTAGGAGCAATTTCAAAGTATCAACAGTGAACTATGAGAGTTTACAGCATCAACAAGAAACTCAACTCCCTTCCCACTTCACGTTTACAGATTCAACGATAGCGTACGATTGTTTGCTATGATATTTTGGTGAAGTTCTTAAGTTCCTAGTTTTCAACGGTAACAAGTTTTTCCGCATAAGTAAAAGTCCATTGTACTCTCATAATTTATCCTGCATATGAGCTGATCTTGATGGTCAAAGGTTTCTCTAAATATTTGATACAAACTAAACACGAGACATATTACCTTAAAGCAAATGATAAGGTGATTGCAGGCATCCAATGCCAGTCTTCCACGTGTAGCCTTCAGAGAGCATCAGGACAACAAAAACCACTGTTAGTCATCGAGAAATAATATATATTTCTGGTAACAGGTATTACGGTTGGTATAAAAATTAACTTACCAAATTAGGCTCTTCTTCAATGACATCAACCAGTTTCTGAAGAGCCAGACTAGAGAGGGACGAAAGTTCTTTATGATAGGATGCATCTCCATAAAATAGTTTGTCATTGCTTACAACCTGGACTTATAATAAGTGAAGAATAAAATGGAAGCCAAAAAAAAACTTCATCAAGATTGCACCTGATTTACCAAATACATATAGAAAAGAACTGCTATTGAAAAAATTTATACAAAAAGAATGAAACGAACAACTGAAATATAGAACGAAGCGAACAAGTGAAATATACATATAAAAGTATGGGCTTCAACTGAAAACAACATAGATATAAGGATTAAGGAAATAATGCACAAAACCAACAAAAACATAAATAAATGCGTTTAATTGCGAGAAGATATCAAATCTAACTAGAGAAGATATTATCCGTAAGGTAAATTACTGAAAAACTCCTCCAAAAGCCTCCCAATTGAAAAAAGATCCTAAAAATATGGATTAAGTACTGCATACTAAAGCCAACAAAAGTAGATAAATGCATTTAGTGTGAGACGATATCAAATCTAGCTTGGTAAGATATTTTTCATTTCCAAATTTACACAATTAATGTTCTCGTATATTTCTGAATGATTGACAATATAAAGTTATTTTTATGCAGGCAAAACGTTTGTATTATGTTTATTGTTGGTCTGTTGAAAAATAAAACACCCTTTTTGTGTCTACTAGATGGATTAAAAAATCATGTTGAAACTTTTCTTGTTGTAATTATCTGGTGTTAAATTTTTCTTCATTGAAATCCACCCAATTGCTTGTTTCTCTTTTTTTTCTTCTGATTAAGTTGAATAAGCGTCCATAATGTCTACGGAGAAGAGCTATTCTGCATTAAAAAATCTTCTTATACACAAATCTCATATGAAAAATAAATCTAGGCAAATATTTGCCTTAACTGAGAAGTTCTTGACACAAAAAACAACACGAATGTAATGAAGGTTAGGCATTTTGATAAGCAAATTTTCAAGAATATACCTGATTAGTTGAATCTTCGTGTTGCATATCCTAGTTTGACCATAATACTTCAACTAAAATACTTTATTTGGGCAGCCTTTGTATTGCATATTACAACCTTTTATTATAATAATGCAGTAGCATCCATGAATTAACTAACAATTCAAATCCACGCCTTTATATGAAGTTAGATACAAGTAAGTCATTGTACACTGACAGCATACAAATGCTTATGGTCCTGCAAGAAGGCTATGACTGCCCATTATATCATAATTACCACACACAGAAAAAAATAAGCATATGTTACATTTTAAAGTTGATGATATTTGTTTGAGTATAAAATTATAATCCTCAACCCATCATAACTTTGGAGTTCTGGTGTACTGTAAGGGTTCGCATTGTATCAAAGCAACTCAAGTTCAACCAGCAATTTAAAGCGAACTAAAAATAATAGATACCGTGGAGTGAGTTCAGATTTCAGCCCATAAAAGGGCCCTCTAGTGCATGTTAGACATAAAATTATAAATCTCAACTGTCATATAACTTCGAAGTTTTGGTGTAGTGTAAGGGACCATTGAAAATAGTAGAGATGGTTGCACATATGCTTTGAAGTCCTACTATAACTTGAATTTTAAAGAGGGGATTGATATCACATTGCGTACTACAAAGAATATCAAGGTAAGACACATGAACGAAGAGATAGCCCTATTAACACACTTCCAGTTAAAGACTGAGATAATTATTTAAAAAATAAAAAATAGTTTAGCATAAAGCTTGTTCATTATAAAATGATAAACAGAAAAAAAATCCGCCATAAGAAGAAATGGCCCTGAGGGATACTATCATAACCAAAATTCCCTACGGCATCTACACGGGCTTTTTTTTATGGTGAAAAGATGGTCAAGAAGATAAAATTGTTACAGATGAATAAAGCAAAGTCACATTTAAATTATAGAATCCAATCATACCTGAGAACTGCTTGCACGGTAAGGAAGCTTAGTTTGAGTAAGACTTGCTGACAACGAAACTATAGCAAAAAGTATCTCTGTTTTAATCCTTGGTGATGTCCTGCAACATTACTAATTAGCTATTTATTCACTTAGAAAATAAGAAACTGCATTTTCTATTTGAAGCTTACAGTGATTGACAATCAACAACTGATACCAAGTTCCTGAGCAACAAAGTGACCCCTTCTTCATGGTTTCCTGCCAAAATGTAACAGCTAGAAGGGTAAGCAAAAGTGCATCTAAATATAAACTAAATAAGGAGCAGAAATACATCCTTATCAACTTCCCGTAAAATTTTCATTTCACATGTGTTGAACTGTGTCGAACTTCCACTGGCACTTTATATTCTCTAAATGGAGTCATCCCTTATGGATTAAACTTTAAAGAATTTAATTCCAAGAACAGGTTTGAACTTATTGTTATCAGAGATGAGAAATGAAAGTGAAACCTCCTACTAATAATAAACTGACCATGAAAATAGGCTATTAATTCATTACTGATGAACAATGTTTTAAATGTCGACCGACATGGCAGAATTAGGGTTCGAACGACACAAATCGGGCAATTTTATGTCGCATGTCGTTTTTCAGGAGGAAATTGGATATGTCGGCAATATATCGGGCATATCGGCCGACTTTTCAGCTTCGAAAAATCGGCTGATATGCTCTATTATCGGTTTAAAACGTTTTTCACTTATTGGGTTTGGGTTTAGGTTTGAAAACCTAAACCCATATGACCTGTTATGATGTTAAGGGTCTGTTTTTGAACCCGATAGACAGAAATGAACCCGTTCAAAAGAAAAAACGAAAAAAACCTAGGGCTACGACTGAGAACCCATCAGCCGCCTTCGTCTTCTTCGTCTTGTGTTCGTTCTCCTCACATCGCTAGCTTCTCCTCTCTTTTCTCCCTACGACATCGAAGTCCATCATCTCTGGCGTCGCCTTCTCCTCTCTTTCTTCCCTGCGCGAAGTCGAAGTTGCAGCTTTCCTCAGCTTCTTCAGCCGTCAGGTATGAGAGTCTCTTTCTCATCGTCTGACTCTCTCTCTCTCTCTCTCTCTCTCTCTCTCCTTCAAAACCTTTAGATTTAGAAGATTTTCAAATCGTCTGGATTTTAGTGTTGATTTCATCTTGTTTATCTTATTCAATGTCTTAATTTCCTGTTTTCCCTTGTTTTTACTATTTTTTTGTTACATTATATTATATTATTATTCAAATAGCTCCATGCTTTTTGTTGCTATAAATTATTCATTTGTAGAATTCAATGTTTGGCAACATGTTTTGGGCAGCATGCTAGGAAAACAAGACATCTGGCTGATTTCTCGTAATGATCCTTGTTTATCATTTAATAATAATCCCTAGTTTCTCGTAATAATCCCTGTTTATCATCTAATGATATAAACATGTAATACTCAAAGAGTTTCTGCTTTTCTTCTTCATGTGACAGTCTGGTAGCAACTCTGTGGATAATCACAGAGGGGAGAAAATTCTAGTTTTATCTGTTTGGGGGTGATGAGTCTTTATTTTTTATAGAATTTATAAAGTATGTTGAGTAAAAGGACTTTGCAGATTCAATTTTTTATATGTTTAGTCTATAGAATTTATAAAATATGCTTATATTGAATTTAGGAATGCTTAGATTACATTTAGAACATGATATTATACATATGTGCACCACCCGATATGGCAATCCGATATTTAGTCCATGTCCCCCAATATATCCTCGATTTTAGCTATCCGACATGAACCCGATATCCGATGTTTAAAACCTTGTTGATGAACTCTTTATAAATGGAACTTGCAAGATAAAATTGCCAGGAAAAGAATGGAGAAACTACATACATGTTACTGATTTTAACTCCTAACAATTGATATATCAGTGGCAGTACTGATGACATTTTTGGTTCATTGATAATGTGAATGGTTCTTATATTTACTATGGTCAGCCAACAGATAGGACTAGCACGAAACCCCCAATGGACCAATAGATAGGAAAGATTTCTGAAAATAGCAAGTAATGATTTAAACATCAGACAGATGAAATAACCATCTTAGTGTTTTACTTTTTAAGGATAGATTGTTATGGTGAAAATAGAATGAGGACTAGTGATTGGGAATGAAACACCAACTACGCATAAAATTAAATGAAAACAAAACCTTTAATTTGTAATCTGCACAGTAGTTTTGAAAGATAACACAATGGTTACACAAGATTTACGAATGGAACAAAACTGAAATGCATACATCATAAGAATTACATGGCTCTTTATGACAAGAAATGTCAAGTGGAATGGATGCTCCACCTTTTGTTATAACAACCAAATATTAGAAAGTTTTACTGACACCAAATCATGAAATTACTAAATATAAAATCAGAATTACCTGGTACCATAACCAATATGCTGCACAACTTGCATGATAATGATACAACTTGATCTATGTCAAATGATTTCTGAAAACCTGCAAACTCAAAAGGATAAGTGGTCTCCTAGTGTGCAAGTAAGAACAGAACATGGTATAGCACGTAAAAGCACATAAAAATTGCATATGATAGTTTTAAGTCCAGAAAGGTATATGTATATAGTAAAGTACACTGTAGTTGAGCACTTCATACATTATGAACAGAAAAAAGACATGTCAATTTCATTGTTATTTAAGACAATAGAATAAATCACAATATATAATAACTATCACAAGATATACAAATTATGTACTAAATCAACTGAACCCTTTTGGTTTACAGAGCCAAAAGTGGAGGTAAGGTGTAATTTTACAGCTTCTATGTCACAAAGTCTTGACAGGCCCCCAACTTCACTATTCTCATGATTCTTCCAAGTCTAAATATCTTGTTGAACTCAGAAATTGAGATAGAACTCTTTCTAATACCAGGATAAACTCATAGTACTTAGTTTTTGAGAATTACAGGAAAACAATAATAAAGCCATGCTAATGGTATTTAAGCTTAAATTTAGTTGGAAAGACAGACATGTTGATTGGAAGTTTATGCAAAGACATACAACTACGAGTACACATGAACTTCAGAAACTAACCTGCTGTCATGTTCAAATTTTGCAAACAACTGATTGCAGAATTTATGAGTCCCTCTGTATGAGAAATTAAACCTCCGAACAATGCTACCTGATATGAGATTAAAAGTGAATCAATTGAAGAATTGGCAGAAATATTTTTTGTGCAATTTTAAACTTTAAAAGTACAGTAGAAATTACCTCAGTTGTCTCGAGATAAAGATTCATGCGCCTTACACTGGATGAAATAGATGGAATTGTAACTTCATTGAATGCGATGCATGCTTTAAGAAAATTTGTAATCTTTTTCATGGTTTTGATAGCTTTGACTGCCAGATTGTTACATATATGAACAAGAGTGTCCTGCGAAAGAAACAAATTCTTGAAAATCTCCACTCAGACAATCAAGGTATAGCAGCCTAAAGTCGACAATAGCTATGAGGGTTTCATAGGGGCGTGCAGGCCTTCTGAAAATTAAGATATGCTTGGAAGGAGCGATGGGAAAGGGTCTGTTCTTGAGATATAGCAAGAAATGAAGATAGGATCAAAGAATTCACATGTTTCATGTCAGCTTCACATTAGACAAGACTTCGCAAGTAGAGTAAGTAAATTAATGATTACGATTGCTGAAGATAAAAAAATTCTTCAAGAAATCCCTAGTTTATCAAGACCTTCCAATTACTTTCTATGGAGAGAATATCCCCCTTATATTTAATATGATGCGAAAATTGTATCCACCCCTATTGATCCAAGAAATCATGCTTCCTCTCCCTTTGGGGAAAAAGAAAGTGCTTCACCCCCTTTCTTTCATCTCTCATCTCCCAGATAAGCCACAAACCCATTCCATCTTTAATTGCCGCCTCCCACCGGCTCTCCATAGCCTCCACCTCCCGCTCTTTGGCATCACCTCTCTCCGTGCCGTGCCGGAGTTGGGGGGTGGTAGGGCCCTAAAGGACGCAGAGGCGATGGGAGGCAGCGGAGAGGTTGTTGGTGAGACAGCAAGGGAAAGGTCAGTAGCTATGAAAAGGCCAGAGATGAGGAGGCGGGCAGCAATGTAGGAGAGGTCAGCAAGAAGGCAGGACATGTGGTGACTGACAAAGAAGGAGAAAGAGGATTGTCATCTTTTACATTTTTCGTAATTTTTTGCCTTTTATACAATGTCGCTTGATATCTTTGTTCATTTTCGTTACCTTTCTGTATTTATCAATACTTTTATTTGTTTTTTTGTTACCTTTATTTATTTCTCGTTATCTTCTATAGATTAAGGATACCTTTACGTGATTCTTATTACCTTTTGTACAATTATTGTTACACTTCTTTGTTTAGTGGTACCTTTATTTTTCTTTTGTTATCCTTTGTTGAACAACATTTTTTCGCAATTCTTGTTACCTATATTACCTAGGTACTTCTATTAGGAAGTCGTACCCATACCAGACATGTACCCATACCCATACTCATACTCGTACCCAAACCTCTTGGACACCTCTTGAATATATGCATATGTTTCTTCGGGCTTATACTCAATTATATAATACTTGTTTTATTTTAAAACACTCCCCATACATTTTTTGGATGTGTATTCTACATTTCACATCTATTTCTTATATATTGATCTTATGTAAATGAAAAAACAATATTCGATCTTATATATATATACATATATATACATATATACATATATATACATATATATATACATATATACATATGTATATATATATACATATGTATATATATATAGATACATATATATGTATATGTACATACATATATATGTATATGTACATACATACATATATATATGTATATGTACATACATATATATATATGTATATGTACATACATATATATATATGTATATGTACATACATATATATATATGTATATATATATATATATATATATATGTATATGTACATACATATATATATATGTATATGTACATACATATATATATATGTATATGTACATACATATATATATATGTATATGTACATACATATATATATATGTATATGTACATACATATATATATATGTATATGTACATACATATATATATATGTATATGTACATACATATATATATATGTATATGTACATACATATATATATATGTATATGTACATACATATATATATATGTATATGTACATACATATATATATATGTATATGTACATAGTCTCTATACCCTACCTTTTACAAAATTACCGTGTTCCGTACCCGTACTTGTACCCATACCAATACCAGTACCCATACCAATGCAACCTAGCTTGTTACCTTTCTTTGTTTCTTGATACCTTTATTTATTTTTTTCCTTGCCTTTGTTCATTTCTTATTACTTTTTATTGTTTAATAATATCTTTATTTGTATTTCATTACCTTTCTTCAATTTTTCTTTCTTCTCCTTCCTGAAGCACTACCTTTACTCGTCTCGCTGCATATCTCACCCCTGTTGCCGCCTGCCACCTTCCTTCTCCTTCGCCTCCTTTAGAGCCCACCATGGCCCCACTTTGGATTTTGGAGGGGCCTGAGGGAGGCGGTAGGAGGCAGAGGCGAAGAGGAAGTGATGGGAGACATTAATTAAAGATAGAAGAGTGTCATGGGTTCATGGAAAGATGAAAAAAAAAGAGAGAGAATAAAGAGGAAGAAAACATGGGAAGCTTAAAAAGTTTCATAAAATGCTTATGGGATTTTATAATAGGGGGTGGAGGCATGACAAATTTTTCTTCGGGGAGGAAACATGTTTTCTAAAACCTTGAGGTGGAGGCAATTTTCTCTAAAAACATTGCTCAATGCCTAAGAAGCTAATCTTAGTTAAAGTTAATCAAAAGAAAAAAAAACTTACTTTTACTTTACCCTATTGGCCTACAAACTACTAAATATTCAAAAGATAACAAAAAGTTCAATGAATATTTAAAGATAAGAAAGAAATAAAATTATATTAATTTTTCATATTAACTTAGTTGTTTATTTGAAATGCGTGAAGGTTGTTATGATTATTGGACTTCCTCATTAAAATTACTCGTGATATGAGGTGTTAGGATAAATAAGACGTGATTTTTTTTTGTGAGATCCGGATAGTCGCCTAGTTGCTTATGGGAGAGCCTAGTTACCAATACGAGTGTAAGAGAGCTTCCAGGATTAGATTAGAAAAAGGAAATTTTTATTTATTTTATTCAGTTATCTTGATGGGCCATTTAGTTTTCTCTCTTTCCAGCATGCTTCGCAGGGGGAACTTACTTCATGTTTATTATGCTAACTCTGCTAATGGCACAGTAAGACATATAAATGCAATTTAGCAGTAATATTTATAAGCATTTAAGACATCATGGGCTTCTAGTATGAAGATTGGAAAAAAACAGGAAATTAGAAAGCAAAAGTTGCAATTGACTTAGTTAATAGAATAATACAGGAAATGGAAAATAGCAGGCTTCCCATACACGTATGTACTTACTTTAAGTTCGTTAATTTGCCAAAAAGCTGCACGACATTCAATTAGAAATGTTAAATGGGGCTCTCCTTCACCACCGAAGTCCACCTAAAATGTAATTCAACTTCTTAAGCCCTGTTCGTTTCCCAAATATAAAATTAAGGTAAAAAAATTCATAACCTGAGTTGCAAGAACGAAGTATAGTATATTGTAATCAGCTTCTGATTTTAAATATTCATTAAGAAACTTCACTTACCATCTGGACAAAACTAGAAATGAGACGCGCCCTCTGTATATCACTATCCAGATCAGAGATATCAATGCTATTGTGAAGGTCTTGACAAATTTCAAAAAGAAACTGTACGGTTCTGGGATCAGATATAACACCAGTGCTGCGCATGGCACCAAAAATTTACCTATTTTAGGCATCTCAAACTAAAAGTATGAGAACTCCATCCATGCTAATATACCACGTATTAAAAAAATTTAGTGAAGCTACGGTCCAAATAGTGATCTTAAAGAAAGATGCAAGGTTTAAGGGGATCAACATGGGCGGAAAAAGGAAGTTTACAATAAAAATTATGACAAAAGAAAAATCTTTTACTAAAAGAGAAATTAATTTGCAGCATGGTACTCAGGTAATTATGTGGATTGTGGATTATTTGTCCTGCCATAGTAAAGAGAGAAACGAACACCCCAATTCATGTATGATAGACAGATTCTAGATTACTTTATCTCCACTAATATGCAAAATGTATAGAAGTTAATCTCCTAAGTCTCAAATAATTGAACATCTCTGGGAGATCAGTAACACAGAAACTTAAAAGATACTTCCATAGGGTAAATTTATTTCTCCGTAGGACAACTATTGGCATTGAGAACTACTGAACCTGTCAAGAACCAAATTTAATAAAGATCATGGGAACCTAAAAGTTCACAAATAAGGAATACCTTGTAGCCTTCTGAAGTATTTTCGTGTTGACCATGCTCCATGAGCTTCCATGTAAAAGTTCAAGGATCCCCGTAAAATGGTTCTACACAAGGAAATGATGGTAAACCATACTCAGATATAGATAAAAACTTGAAGATGGATAAATTCTGTAGGGATGCCACTTCAAATCTCAGTAGTAAAGTTATTTGGCTTACTGACTCCAACTGCTAACATACTGGACACATAAAGCAAATAAACTAGATTGATCTGTAGTATCTCCAAATCTTACAAAAGTTGAACCCCTTAGGTTTGGTGAGCAGATAGATACAGACCAGGCATAAACAACATTTGCCGAGGTCAGGACTGCTCATTTCATTGTTCCTTCCTGATCATAAGCCCTGAAGAAAAAGGCACGACTATAATAACGAACCAGAGAACATAAATAACACCTGCCTGGGTCAGGATTCCTATGTCAGGAACTTAAAGGATACTTCCATAGGGTAAATTTATTTCCCTGTAGGACAAGTACTGATATTTAGAACTAGTCAAGAAAGGATTTAATAAAGACCATGATCTCAATCTGGAAGGTTATCAGCCCTATACCTAAACCATGACTTGTTTTTTTATCTCGGAAACCACTCATTTACCAATCAGTTTTCCCCTACAACATCAACAACATAGTCCAGCAGGATCTGGACATCTTAGACGTTCAAAGTTATATGATATATCCTCCTTTTAAGACATAATCGAAGAGGATAATATTATTCATTTATAATGAAAGGTTGCAAAGGAATAACTTCCACTATGAAAGTGAACAAATAAAATAAATAGAATGCTGCAGTACTGGACTGCAGTTAGTAGATATATGGGTTACTAATCAGACCAAGGTGGGATTGGATTTGACTTATTAACTAGATTTTCATCTATTATTAACCATTGATGGCATCGGGTAGACAGGTACTCTAGCAAACAATTTACACATCCTGATAACACAAGTACATGAGGCTTCACCAGTTGATTATTCTAACCTGTTTGTGGGTTCTTATGGAAGTATGACCTTTTACATTTCAACCATCGAGGACCAACCAAAGGATCTGGATATTTAATCCAACCACATAGCATCAATATATTTTAGGATTGTAGTATTGTATTTAATTCAATATAGTTTCACATAATTTAACATAAATGGTACATTGATTTCAACATGCTGTTTGTCTCCTGCCAAGTCCTGGCTGCAGCTCTAGCAATCTGTAAAATCAATTGATGATAGCTTATAAAAGGCAATGATATGTACATGCTGTATGAACAAGCAAATTGATAAATCAAATAGAAGAAGAATCTGGTCTAGATATCAATCAGTAAAAGCTTTTCCACAGAGATGGGACGGTTGCAGGTTCTGATTAAAGTTACAATTACTACATGTAAATCGAAGAAGATAACAATAAGAATGTATGTTACCAGAGAGAAAACATCTTCTATGCTATCAAAGTGATTGATAAGCTTGACCAGAATAGACTGTAACACGTCCATTTCATTTTCAACTGCCCTTCTATTTTCAGCTCGTTGTAGAATGCCATCCAAAAAAATAGAGAGAGAGTCATCCTGATATTTAAGAAAACATATTTCAGAAGTAAAATTAACAATACTACTAAATAATAGCACTTCTTAAGTTCCCTCAACAAAAGAACCAATGGTCATTGAATAGAAGATTCCTTATAGCTTGCTGAAAATAATGTATCATGGCTGAAAAAAGGCACACTGAATATACTATCAAGCATGAGAACTTACAGAAGTTCAGATATTAATGGTATAGGATAGAGCTGCAAGTTATATATAAAAAAACAACAAAGTGAAAACTCCAACATTCAAGGATAACATGTTAAAAGTGAGAAAAACAATTGTCTACCCAGAAAGACACCAACCATAAACTAGTGATTTTAATTTCCTGAAGGCATTTGTATCCACTGCCCAGAAAAAGCAACAGTGGACATATCAGATTTACGTAAGTACGGAGATGATATCGAACACTCGTTCCTTTTCTAGTTACAGGAGTTTGAACTTGGAACTTCTACAACCCCCACCTACTCTTTTACCACTGGGTCAAGCATCAGTTGATATTAATCATTCTCCAACATGATAAAGAAATTATAGTATCATCAGAATAAAGAAATATAGGCAAAACACAAAAAATATGAAAAACAAAGAAAGAAAGAAGGAAATGGCAATAGCTTGGGTAAAAATTTACCAGTGAGTAGTGAAGGATAATGTCCATGTATGCATCAGCTACTATCAAATACTCATCAAGGCAATCGTACTGATTAGCCACCTGAATGAAAAATGCATAAAAAGAAAATGAGTCCCTTATGGCGCAGAGAAATTAAATAATTGACTAAATAATCAAAATATTATGCTAAATCTAAGAAATTGAAAGATAACAACTGCTATAGGCTTGGCTTATGATTTAGTTTAGAAAATAGCTTATCAAACAAAAGTGCCTAGGCAGGAATAATAGCTTGTTGTAAACTATAAATATACTACACAGCTAGCAAAATAGTACAGATGAATGAATGCTTGAGACATTTCCGTTACAACCTGAAAAACAAATGACAATATTGAAAATGATGAAGATAGGAAAACACATATGAATTTTCATTATAACTTATATCAGAAAACTAGATACTGTTTGTCAGTGGATATCAGTTGTTTGTCATTGGGTATTGCACACATTACTGGTCCCGCATGAGAGTTCTTTTTGTGTGTGGATTATAGGAGTGAGTATGTCTGTAGGTGGTTCAGAGCACAAAGTTCTACAACTATGCTGTAAAGACAAGTTAAGAACAACTTTGGTATGATTTCAATATCAAACTCTAGCATGGTACTGAAAGAATTGCATATTATACTTTAACCAAAAGAACTTCTATATATGATTGTGAAATGAAAAAAAAACTGTAAACTTTAGTAATTCGTCCACTGTTGGTGAACTCTGAACTTCACCATACATAAGTTTCTTAGTTGTACATAAAGTGGCCCTCAAATGAATGTTTACTGGATCTACGATCTACGATGTTCACAACAAACTAATATCCAAAGTACAAGTCTCAAGACCAATGCAAATGAATGTTTACTGTATCTACGATCTAGAATGTTCACAACAAATTAATATCCAAAGTACAAGTCTCAAGACCAATGCTTTAGATTCCTAATCTTAGAATGATAAACCAAAGATTTAGGCTATTTAATCATATTGTTTGGCCATTTAATATTTGTTTTTTTTTCAGGCTTTTTAGATACCCTCCCTATCGTCCCAACTTGCAGAGCACTAAACGATAGGTTTAGGATATTCAATTCATAATTGTTTGGGTGCCTACCTAAATATTACTTTTTTTTTTTTGTTCAGATACCCTCCATCTACCCCGATAAGCTTCAAAATTTAGGTACAGGCTTTCTGTCCATGCCACTGCAGAAAGAACTCAATAGCTTAATTTTATTAAGCATCAAAGGATACATTGGCAGGTTGAATTCAAGTAACCAAAAATCTCACATAACCAGTAGGCTGTACAAGCTAAAGCTTAAATATAGTTCAGTGAATCACAGATGAAGTAGTTATATACCAAGCACTTAAAAAAAGTTGAAAGTACTTCTTTCATCGAATTTAAGTACCTTCGACACATGACGAAGTACAGCTTCAATAGAACTGATGGGTGGTGGGCTCTCAAAGAGTTTGAGACCAAGCAGCCTATAATTCAGATGCTGTATGGTGATGTCAAGTACAAATAAAGTAGTAGTAAAAAAGCATTGATGCATCGGATCTTTTACACAGAGGGATTCAAACCAACCATACCTGCTCAAGGGATATATCTTTGTTTTGCTCATAAAGGTCAATGACCTCTAGTGCATTCATGCTGATAAATTCAGCTGGAAGTTGCTTGAGAAGATAATGAAGAATTATCGAAATGCATGGTACTCTCTTGCTTGGTTCAGATAGAGTAGTACAAAATCCAAACTCTGAGAGTACACCACCAAGCTCCTATACTCAAAGAATTGAATATCGAATTAAGTTAGTAACATGCAAAATTGTCCAATATTCAATCACAGGGAAAGGCTCCTGTCTTTCAAAAAAATAAGCCTGCAAAACTTGCCTTATAATGCGATTTGTTAACCCAAAAAATATGTTCTGGCTAATTTAATGTCAGATAGATGACTGTTAAGAGTGGTGGATTATAAAGAAACGAAACAAATTTCGGTTCAATATGTTGAACCATGAAATAGATTGCCGTTGATCCTATACAGTTTGGCCATTACACGCTCCATACTCGTCAAAGTGTGATTAGACTGCTGGAATAATGACCGAACTCTTTTGTAATTTACTCATGTCAAATAGTTTCTATCATTACCCAAACTATAAATCTACAGTATATATAAGCATGTAAGGAACCATAACAATATTATCAAGTTTATATAAACTGAACCTTAAACCATATACCATAATAACATCAATTAAAAGAAAACCTTTAAGAAACTCAAAAATGAAATGTGTTTTAAAAATTCATTGCTGTTCTTAGCAACCTATTGTTGTTCTTGGTATCATGAAACTTCTTCAGTGGATAAGTTTTGTTGTATGTCCAACTTATGTATGTGATTTGGGCACATTTTACCCAGAAAGACCTTAGCGCTAATGTTCTATTATTGGAAAAGAAATGTTCATGATGTAACCAGTTGACAGATGGCTGAGTCTCCAAACACATGATTTCTTTTATCCTCTTATGTCATCGAGATCATAATGCACGCTACAGATCAAGTAATGAGATGCTGTGGAATTAGAGTTTTGAACCTCTTCTAGAAGAAAAAACAAACCGTCCCATAGAACCCAATACTGCCTCTCCTCCAACTTATTATGAACTGCACTACTAGTCTTAGTTCTGCATTTCCAAACCATCTAATAAATTCTCCTTATCTTGCCTCATGTTGAAACCTTTAGTTATTCACTTTTCACATATAGACTCCTTATCCTATAGACATGTCTCTTCTAATTTGAATATCAGAGTTCTAGGCCTATAAGCCTGGTCGATCATATAGCATAAATTTTCATGTAAGTTTCCTTCAACTTCATGAGAATTCTATTCCAGAAAGCAGAAGCAACCTCCAGTTTCAGTTCTACGTATAATTGATACTAAGTGATAAAAATGCCTAGTATGAGTTACTTTGTACCTGTTATATTAAGGAGATCTTTGTTCCTTATTGTACTTCTGCTGGTATCAAATTTCATATATTCTGTGCTTGTTACATGTGTGTATACATGTGGGTATACCATATCCCAAAAGCCCATTAAGGTCATCTGCAGATACAGATCAAGATTTTGTAATCTTCTACTGAAATTGAGAACTTCATAGGAAGCAGTGGCATAGAATTCAAATTTGGGCATGCTCCTGCTTGTTTCATGGCTACATGACAACAACACTAAGTCTTAAATTCCAACAATCAACAATGAAGTTAGGTTGAATAGCCATGGTCCATAAACATTTCCCAAAAGAACCCTAGCTTTAGGATAAGGACAGATAGTGTTTCTATACTAAGTCAAAAAGTATTGGAATGAGGTCTGCAATAGACATCTGCCAGAATAGCTATTAAATATTTGACTTGAAGCCTGATATAAATATTCAATAAAGGCAAATAGCAAAATGATGGACAACAAAGGCAATTTTTTACATAGAAAATAGCAATGAATATAATAGAAACCATGGTTATTAACTTATTATAACGGTAGCCTAAAAGAAGATGTCAAGGATAGTACAACAGGTGTTATTTATAGCTTATATAGAAGAATCGTACATATACAACCATGCTTTATACTTTAATCCAGTGAGTTGAACCATTGACCTTAATGGTGTTCCAAGAAGGACATTTATGCATAGTATTATTTTTATCCCTAATGCATTCTGATCACAAATAGACAGACTTAACAATAATCAATTACAAATAGAAGAGTTAGATTATAGAAAAAGCGAGAACTTTTTTAAGGAACATAGATATGAATTTAAAAGAAGAGCGACAAATTCAAAGCAAAATAGTTGTTGAATTACTTAGTTTAGTACACAGTATAGAATATTACATTTGCAAGCATTGGCATCAAATGTTTGAGCAGAACTGCTAGACTAATGAAAAAGAATACCAATGATACTGAAATGCTAACCTTATTACAGCTATCGATGTGTATACACTTCATGATCCACTCAATGGCAGGTTCCATTAGCATCATAACCATTTTGTTACTCTTGTAAGAATGAGTAGTAATGGTTTCTTTGTTTACAATCATGCGCTCCAATAGACGGGCTATATTACTTATTGATGCAATTAGATAACCTGTTTACAGAATGTCCGCACAGCAAAATAATGTTGAGAATATTGCTGTCTAACGAGTAGACTAAAAACATAAAATAACATTGGAAGAATGATTTGATTTTAAACCATAGAGAATTCAAGAATTTGTAATCTAGTAACAATGTTCAAATTATGCACTAGTGGTAGTTATAAAGATTAACATTGTCAGTTGACTCAGTTCCAGTAAATTCATACATCTAGAATTGACATTCATATTTCTGAGATGTTTCACTTAAATAAGATAGTTTCATCAATACCACAAGCTTGCAACCACAATTAAATCAGCTTGGTTTCAGTTTGCTAATGACAAGAAGTTGAAAACATAACTATTCCAGCCCCCCCTCCCCACAGCACTCCCCCCCCCCCCCCAAAAAAAATAAGGATGAGCACAAGAACTACTTCCACATTTGACAGAACTGGGTTTTCTATTTAAAAAAAAAACCTTTGATGCGTATTTTACTCCAAGAAGAGATTACATTTATTCATATGACATTCAGCCTGATGCTGACCAACCAGTCCTGTTGTAAGGTAGAAATGTCCTACAATGTCACACATCCTAGTACTCTTCCCCCTGCAACCTTACTGCAGAGCTAATTACCGTTGCTTTTCCTTGAAAAATGCTATCCACCATTAATTCCTGAGCTCACATAAGCTATAACATACCAGCTACCTTTCTAGCACACACCGATATGGAACTGTCAAATTTGAGGACATGATACAATGACATCCTCTCTCCAGCATCTCCACTTAGTTTACTCAACAGCCTCCTCGTCACAAACACTTGACCAGGCAATCGAGATTTCAAAAGACAACATAAAACTACAGAGGTTAGCCTATGGTATCTGCACCCAAGATAACCCCAGCTTAGCTTCTGCATACACTTCCAGCTGGCATATGGGTTAATGCAGCCATAATGCACCAAGCAGGGACTTTCTAGGAGATCATACATCTTTTTACTACTCTTTCCTGGGCAAGCTAAACTAGTGAACACTTACCACAGTTCATTTATAAAAATGCTATCTATAAGTAATTTTTCGGTTCATGGGAACTACTATACTTAAGACACCATTCTTGCTAATTCATTATGAAGAAGTCCATTTTAGGATAGCGGCACACCCTCATCATTTTAAACATATAATTTGTGATGACATTTTGAGAGTATTGTCCTAAGAATACTTGACTTCACATGAAATTTCTCAAAAAGTACAGGGACGTATTGGAGTCTCCACATTTTGACACAGTACCCTAACAGTACTTGAAATGCCTTATCTAATGATACTTGAATAAATCAATTTTATGTAAGAGATCCTAAAATCTGCATCTTGCAAGTTTCAAGATCTAACCCTTGAGCTTGAATTTACTCAAGCAATGAACTTAGTCAATAGAAGAGTTGAATTATATTTTTCCTTCTCTGCTGGAATGATAAAGGCACATGTTCATTGCATGATCTAACTTATTGGATCGATGCATGACCTAACTTATTGGATCGGTGGTCATTTTTATTCCTAATATATATTTTATAAGTCGCTAAGTATTGTTACTGTAAAACTTACTCATTTGTTTCTTCCGACTAGACTGTTCATTAAATGACATCCCACTCATCCCACACCCATTCCTGCAACCTAGGCATCAAGTAGCAGACTTGTAGCAGTTAATGACTATTCATTTAAGCACAATTCATTAAGCGGACATAGAGCATCACGAATCACGTGAGAAGAAACATTGGGACCATAAATATAATAGCCTTGACATCACCTTGACTTTGTAGCTTTTCATGAACATTTCAAGGACTAAAGTTTCATACAACCAAGGTTTTAAATGTCGGATGTCGGGTTCATGTCGGATGGCTGAAATCCATGTCGGATAGCAGAAATCAGGGATATATCGGGGGACATTGACTAAATATCGGATTGCCATATCGGGTAGTGCGCATATGTATAATATCATGTCCTAAATGTAATCTACGCATTCATAAATTCAATATAAGCATACTTTATAAATTCTATAGACTAAACATATAAAAAAGTAAATAATATATGGATTTGAGTTCATAAATTCTTTCTATCGGGTTCATAAGAAACCCTTAAACATGAGAACGGGTCAAACGGGTTTGGGTATTTATCACTAAACCCAAACTCGATAACAAAAAACAGATCTTAAAAAAAAGTACCATATCAGCCAATTTTTCAAAGCTAAAAAAATAGACTCATATGCCCGATATGACCCCTGATATTTCCGATTTGGCTCTGAAAACCGACATACGAGTTAAAAACGTTCATGTCGTGTCGGTCAAGCCCTCAAACCGATATGTCGGCCGACATTTAAAACCTTGCATACAACATTACCAGTATGTCTAAAAAAGAATATGAATCTTCAATGCATGAAAGCAGAAAGATCAACATAAAGATCATCTAGCAGAAAGACCACAATCTGAATAAGATTGTTAAGCTTAAACATAATCGAGTTACGATCCAGAGCTCACATCAGCGCCTCCATAGCTACAGCAATAAGAGAAAATATGATGGAAGATTGTCCCGATGAATGTTAGTTGGACAAATATATTGTCCCGATGAATGTTAGTTGGACAAATATAGTATCTTATCTCAGCACTCAGCAGTGACACAAAAGATTTTAGAGTTCCATAAGAGATTTATTCAAGCACCAACTCTCTATTGTGTTTTTCTTGATTAATGTCAGGGTTATTCAACAAATAGGATCCAATATTCATCATGATCCTATCACTGTACTTTTCATGCTTTCTTTTAATCTTAATGTTTTTCTCACATCCAATGATCCAAATGGATGTAATCTCAGATGCAGCTTCCATTATTCCATATTAGAAGTCAACAGGCAGATACTCAGATCCAAATACTCAAAGAAGCTCTTGCTTAAAAAAAAGTAGTTCAGACAGAAACCGGCTAAAAAGTGATTGCAGAAAATCTAGGTAGAGAGAAAATTAACAAGTAATCCAGTTGAAAAATTAAATAGAAAACAGGTCTTTATGTGGGGCTCATAATAAAGGCTTGACAAGAATAATAACCATGAGGCTTTTTACATTAAAATGTTTATTATTCAAAATGAATAAATAAGTGGTAGCCTAGGTCGAAATCTCCCTGGTTACATACTAAGAGAAAATCCAAAGATTTCCAGCTAGTGTGTGCAATAGAGTTTCCAAGTATACAAACCAACCAGATGGACTAGTAGCAGAAAGCATATGTCTACTCATTGTCGCTACATCCAAAATAAGCAAAACAGACTGTGATTAGAAACCTCAAATCTAATTTTCAACTTGGGCAGGATCATAAATCAAATACAAGTAGGGTGCAGATTACTGTCTATGTATAAAAAAACAGAATAATGTGTTCTACAATATATCATTTTTAGTGCGCTAGAACCAGAGATGCATATGATTGGTATCTCTGGTGAAAGAAATGTTGAATAAGTATCTGCAACAATATGGACACAGTCAAATGAATAGAAATATGAGCATTTTACCTTTGTCTCCTGGATTTAGTGAATCAGCACAATGGGCCATATAAAGATGACAATATGCCGATGCAAGTGGATCCGCAAGGCCTCTCATCATCATAGTCAAGCGGTGGAGATTATGCAAATGATCGACCTCTAGGAAACGCCAACAACGTAATATTGCAAGTTCCATGTATCTAAAAGGTCAATTAGTAAATAACAAAACAAGTTACACATTTTTTTTGAAGATGGAACTGCTAAAACAGAAAATCCACAAGAAAAAAAAATGAAGACAAAGATCTAAGTGGCTTTCAAATTGATGAGATCTATGTGGCATCACTTTATATGTCCTTGACATCAAAAGCATCATATCAATTTTTCCCCCAAATAAACATCATTGAATGAAATAAAAGAATTACTTGTAAGCAAAATATGTTCTGCAGTATGAGAGTTAATCCTGTACTTTTTCAAACATGCTTGATAGAAAAACTGTCACAGGAAGAGCCCCTGATTATGTACCAGAATCTGACAGTCCTATTTACCACATACACAAGGATAATGACAGTACAATACATAGAAACAGATTACAGGCAAGACACCCAAAACACACCTTCAGTAAACTCTTTTATGCTCCACTCAACTTACCAGTTACTGAAGGGATGTGGACTATACTACATTAATGATGAGTCTGTATTTACAGAGCAGTTGGCACCCAGGACACTACTAGAAAAGTAAGGAAAACAAGACAAAGAGGACAACATGCATAGAGAAATTATCCTTTTAGCTCCATTTCAAACAAGGACTTGAAAATTTTGTTGTGGGTCATCTTATGGCAGACTGCTTCATTCAGCTTAATCTACAAACCTTTGATGAGAGATCAGGTGATACGAAAATCCTTTGCTCATCCAACAAGTTATTTCAAAATAAACTTATTTCAACCATTACTTGACACCACTTGATACATGAGAAAACACTTGTTTAATCATTTGGTGTCATCTTTAAACTATTTAATGCATGTAGATGGTATCGATCATCCATCAGATGGTCCACAAGAAAGTTCACAAAGATAGTTTGAGAATATTTTCCAGAAATGACTCTGTAAGTTGATTTGCTAATTAAGGCTCATGAGCACGTTGTTGTAGACCATCTCATGAACTATCCACTACATTTTCTTTTATCACCTTAAATGTTCTAGATGAGAGATCAAGTGATCTAACTTTTTGCACATCAAACAAGTTGTTTCGAAATAAACTTATTTCAGCCATTAAAAAATGGCATTAATATGCATGACTAAATACTTCCAAAATTATATGTCTGTAAAGATCCATTCTATTAAAATTGATCTAACTAATTTAATGTCTAGAACCAAAAAAACAAGGTTTTTTAAAGTTCTGATTCAAAACCCTTCTATCTATGTGTGCGTGTGTGTGGGTGCACTCCAAAACCAAGTTTTTTTGCCAAACCTTTCGGCTCTAGCATTAGTATTTAGTAAATTGATAGTTTCATTGTGTTTCAAGACAACTAGTAATGAACTGAATGATTTGACTCACAAGAGATGATCAACTTAATTCACTCAGAGTACAGAAACACATATGTAATGTAACGATCTGACACGTACACTTTGAAGACTGCCGCTCATTGTAGCTTATGACATAGTACTGAAATGGTGTTGATGGTGCAATATCATGATAATCAAACTCCTAAAACCAAAAGAGGCAGACATATAGGGTCCAGCAAGGACCATCCCCCTCCAACACCCCACCCCCTCCCCCACCCCAAAAAAAAACACCTCAAAAAGAAAAAGAAAAAGAACACGCCGCCACCCAAACCAAAGAAAAAGATAAACTTACAAATTTATTACAAATGTTATATACGACACATTCTTTTAACTGAGTGATTGCCCCTTAAGTAGACCACTAACTGACAAAAAATCTTTGATTTCTGTGGCAAGAGAGAAATTAGACACAGAACATAAGGGGCCATAATGGTCTGGACTTTGGATCATCGAGTACTAAGCTGCTTTTGATCCCCTTGATTATGTTCAACTCCACCTTTGAAGAATTCAGTACGATTATCAGCGATGTGTTTGCACAATGTATCGGTTGAACAGATCAGACAGATACTCCAGCATGGCGGTGACATAAAGATCCATATGAAATTTAGCCGGGAAATTTTCTTGTGTATAATTGCATGCTTATCAGTAGGCTGTTATTAAACGTATGGAAATATCAGGTTTCAATATTGCAACTTTCTTTGTCAATAGGTAGTTATTACAATGTATAAGTATCTATTACTTAACCTGAATTAACTCTAAATTTGACCTCAAACCTACATGCAGTCTATCTGTAAAAAAAAAGCAGAAAGCTTTTAGTAACAATTTATTGAGGGTCAGCTCTACAGGACCATCTTCTGAGTTTAATTAGTGAAGTTTGAAACAGCTTTTACAACCTTGATCCAATTTTACTCTTGTCCTTATACAGCAGCACCATTAACTACCATCCAGCACTCCTTTTAACTAGCAGGCAACAATCTGCATTATGCATACCCATAAACCACTTCAAATGAGCTTCCTCATTTTACACGGTTCCTTCAACTTTCCAGGAATTTGTATCTCTTATTTTCTTTTTCTTCTATTGCCGATCATCCATCTCTACATATCTATTTCAGATATTCATCTTTTCTAGATGTTCCGTTTCCACTGTGGTCATCTTATAGTATATTCCTGCATCCTCAACTAGTTCTATCAAGAAGCCCTTCTCCACTTAACAACCCCAATCTAATTCTATTGCCGTATACTCAATACCACACTTGATGATGGGTTTCAGAATGAATCACAAGAATCATAAGAGCATAATGCAGAAAAATCATATTAAGAGAAAGAAAAGTATAGATGTTTCACATGCGTGGAAGAAGCTCGCGAACTGAACCAATCTTGCAGAACCAGTTGTAGCAGGTATCTTTGGCCTCAGGACAAATATCAGTAGAAACAAAAGATTCTGCAAACAACCAAAGATGTGATGAGGTTTCATATAGAATACAAAAGTACAGCATAACAAACAAAATATTTCAAGATAGAAAGAGATCTAAAAATTAGTTTTTTTTTTCTTGAGTAAAGAAAGAAAAAGAAATTCAATACACCATAAGCATGACCCTGTACCATCTGTAACTTTGATCTAGCAAACTAAACATTTGAAGATTCTAATGGCAGTAAACAGCATAAAAGCATGTCCAACACAGAATCTCGGAGATAAGCATAAACTAAAAGAAAATGTGTCGCATAACGCCTTTGTCCGTGTTATGTAACATAACAAACTTTAAGCATTACGTAATATTTTGAAATAAAGTAGACACATCATAAGTCTATGTTATTACGTAATATTTTGAAATAAAGTAGACACATCATAAGTCTTATGTTATTACAATATAACATACATGTACACTATTTCAACATAACATATATTGTTTCAATAGAACAAAAGTAAAGACTTCAAAGTACTTTATTTTTTTGGTTTATTCAAGTCTTGCAGTAGTCAAATATTTGCTTTTGGATTGTTCGTTAAAAACTTTTCTTTTTTTCATGATTGATGTGAACTTATTATTTGTGTAGAATGAAGTGAATGCAAAATTATGAACGAGATACGTAAATTTGTACTGAAATATTGAACATTTAAATGTGATACTTGTTAATAAATTAGTGTAGCTTGTATTAAAGTCTTGAAAAATATTTGTCTGCTATTTTCTGGCTTGAAGTAGTTGAATTTATTTTTGGATTGTTCGTTAAGCACTCTTGTCATTGATGTGATTGATATATAGTGACATCATTATGTTTGTGATCATCAACTTATTGTTTGTATTTAATGAAATGAATGTGAAAGTATGAACGAGATACGTATATTTGCATCGATATGTTCGAATATTCTACTGTGGTACTTGTTAGTGAATTAGTGTAACTTGTGCTAAATTTAGATTTTTATTTCAAATTAATTTGTTTATATTTTAAAATCATGTTCCTATTTGTTACAATTTTAAATATATTATGGATTTTTTTATATTTATTTTAAATTTAAAAAATACAATTTGACAATTTTAAGTACATGCTACAATATGTAAAATATCATGATACTTTGATGTATGCAGTACATATAAGTGGGTAAATGATACACATAACACTTAACACACAAACTCACACACACACACACACACACACACACACATATATGTATAGAGAGAGAAATGGGTATGCTTGGTACCAAGAACAAATTTTGTGCTTGGTAGTGAGGTTCTTATTCCCATCCACTCATTCCAATTCCCAACCACTCCCCAACCCATGTGAATGTGGGCCCCGATTTCAATGAGTGGAGGGGAATATGTCACCTCACTACCAAGCACAAAAACTTGTACTTGGTATCAAGCATACCCATTTCTCTCACATGAGAGAAATGAGTGGATGAGAATAGGACACCTCACTACCAAGCACAAAATTTGTGTTTGGTACCAAGCATACCCATTTCTCTCTCTATATATATGTATGTATGTGTGTGTGTGTATATGTATATATATGTATAATATACATATATACATTTACATATATATATATAAGAGAAACTTTGTACTAATCACAAATTTTGTGATTGCTAGTGAGGTGTCTCATTCTGATCCACTCTCCAACCCATATGAACGTGATCTCCCATTTGAATGAATGGATGAGAATTAACCACCTTAGTACCAAGCACAAAAAAATTGTGCTTGTTACCAAGTTCCTTCATATCACGCTCTCTCTCTCTCCCTCTCTACACACACATATATTTCTATGTACATACATATAGCTATGTATGTGTGTGTGTGTGATTAGTGAATATTCTAGGAGATTTGAAGTAACTTAGGAGCTCTATTGTATCCAAGAACTTTGAATTCTCTTCATGCTACTGCACGTGTGTGTGTGTGATTAGTGAATATTCTAGGAGATTTGAAGTAACTTAGGAGGACAATTGTGTCCAAGAACATTTAATTCTCTTCATGCTTCTGAGCATTATTAACTATATATGAAAATAGCTTTGGGAGTTAAGAACTGCAACATACATGAGAAATGGAATTTTAAGCTATAAGTTTAGGCAAATTCTTATTTATATTAACTTACAGGTTCACATTACTTAATTTAGAAAAAAAATAACAACATATTCTCAACCGGTTGCCGAAAAGACATACTTCCCATTGTTCAGACAAATATGTTTTACAAGATGCAAATATCCTCTAGTTCGTATCATCTTAGCAAGAGTATCCATACCAAGTGTATGTTGCTCATCTGTTGGGTACATTCTGTCTACATTATTTCAGCATACTATGTACCTACGCACCGAACCAATATCTTTTTCTTTTCTTTTTTTATAGGTCAAGCCTCCTATGGTATGCCTTATACCCAGTGTATTAAATATCAGCCAACATATCGCTATATCGGCTGATATATCGTTATATCGGCCGATATATTAGTTTTGATGCCCTTCCGATACGATGTTTATGAAAAAATATCACTTTTCAATTTTTACCACTTTTTTCAGTACATCGGAAATATCGGCCGATATTTCATTGAGAAAATATCGGCCGATATTAGCTAATATCCAAATGAAAATGGTTATTGAGTTTGGATTTGGTTTTGGTTCCTTAATAAATTTCCAAGCTCAAATACCCTAAATCCCTAGTCAATCTCATATTTTTGCTTTCTATTCGTTCGGCACTCTCTCCTCTCTCTCAATTCTCTCTTTCTCTTCTCCACTTCTCTCTCAGCTCTCTCTCAGTTCCTCCTCAGACCCCTGTCTCTCTTCCGCTCTCCTCTCTCTCTCTCACACAACTTCTCTCCCCTTCTCACTGTCTTCCTCTCTCCTTTGTTCATGTCCTCTCTCTCTCAGATCTCCACCTGTTTCTAATGTCTCTAAACGTCGTACATCATTATTCATGATGCAATTTCTTATGTTTAGAATACGTTAAATATGTTCTGATTACATATTACAATGTTATGTTACATATGAACATCTTCCGATATGACACCCCGATATTTTAAAAATATCCCTGATATATTCCCAATTTCCGCAATCCGATATAGATTTTGGCCATCCGATATTTCCTGTATTTTCGATATTTAATACATTGCTAGTATCTGGGTTTCTTTTTGTGCTTCTCGAGAACCCCAATGACTTGGCAGTTTTCTGGGTTGCTGTCATTCCTGTACCTTTTGCTCATTCTGGGCCTTATTGCATTAGTACACAATGTTTAGTGTTTGTAAAGTCTCAGTTATTTGAAGTTGAGATAAATCCTTTATTTACTCAAAATATTAATTTCTTTGTCGATGCGGTCAAAGGAATTTAGACATTTGCCTTATAAAATAATTGTAATAGTATGTACTTGACATTGATGATTGGTCTTACAGTCTTTTGCCTCATTCTAGTTGATTCAGCTAGCATGGCAAGGACCTTCAGATGTGGATCTGCCACAACATTCTATCTCTACACATACTATGGAGCTTCAAACTTACATTGAAGAACCTTCTCCAAGAGTCCCGCCATCTCTACAGATCAACTCGGTGGATCCTCATCCAAAGATACGACATGATTTTGTCTTCTCGAAACAGGAGGACGTTAATGCATATTGGGAAATCTTGGAGTACTGTTATGCAACAGCCGATCCAGTATCTGCATCGCTCTCTTCCCTGGTTCTGTGGTTCATGAGGTTCATTTATCTGATTACTTTGTTACCTGTTCTGTGATTTCTTACAGTTGCAAAGTAATTTCTTTGTGCTGAAGTCTAATTTCATTTCAAGACCGTCCATATTTACATTGATTTTTTCCCTTCTGATTATTGAATAAGGTCTAGCTAACTCCTATACTTTTTCAGCATCATCATCTCCCACTTCCTCAGTGTTCATACGCAATTAATATTCTTTTTAAAGCGCAGGCCTATTGTCATCCTTTATGCTGTTTAAAATCTTATAGCCTTCGTGCGTATGTATGTGTGCCATGTGTATGTCCGTAACTGATGTATGTGTGCCATGTGTATGTCCGTAACTGTGTGTTTGTTCATCTTACGTACATACATATAGAGAAAGGGGAACTATGAGAATCCCCCTAACTTCATAAACAGATTCACCAGCCGAGCTCTGCTTAGAAAAGTCTTCATGTTAGCATTCGGTAGGAGCAAGACAAACATGTGTTTTATATATTTAAATGGTAAACTTGCCTTGGTTGTATAATTTGTTAGCCTGGTCATGTTTACATGTTGAAGTTTGGTTCCAGGTGTACTTTGGGCTGGTTTTTTCCTTTTGTTCAGCCAATCTCCCCTTCTGCATGTAGCTATATGCACTGGAACTACTAATTAGATTGTTGCCACTTAAACATCTGACAGTATCTTGTTTGGGGCGCTGTGTAGTATTAATTAACCATCTAACAATTAAACGTCCGACAGTTCTTTCTGATATTATTTTCTAGCAAAATATTGTTTACTCTTGGAATGGTAACTTGGACACGCAGTTTTACTACTAAAATTTTTTGGGCCTGCATAGTACCATAATAATATGTGTTTATTTTTGAAATCTTGAAGCTTATTTAGTTGTGATGTGTAATAGGTCTTTAATTGCCGTTCAATGGGCTTCAGTTCGAGTTATGACTGCTGAACAACGGATGGAGCTGCTGAAACGAATGGAAAATTGATAATCTAAGAAAAGAGAATACGCATTCAAAGAATGTGTTGAGATTGCCAGGCGAACTTGACCTTTCTGTAGAGCAGGTTAGAGCAAACAATTTCTGATTCAAGTTACATTTCTAAAGCCATTCTTAAGTTGCAGTTTGTAGATGATGACGAATTGTTTCGCATTGTGGCCTCCTCTAGTACCTACTATGAATTACTCAACCATGTTAAATGCAACACGTCTATAGTATATGAGGTCTGTTTTCAGCAACAACAATAGCACTTGGCCCTGTATCATAGTATATAACCCAGTATAACCAGGTACGTTTTAAACCGCTTTAATATCCACCATACTAATTCCCCCTTATTAAAACTGCATATTTGTCAACTTGTTAAACTGACTGTGGCATGAAATGTTATGTACTACCATAAAATGACCGAGGAAAGACTTCTGTAAAACTATGAAAATATCAGTGGTCCCAGAACATGTCTAATCAAGAGAGGTGGCATCGTCTAGTCGATGTTATAGTAATAATTGCCAAGGAAAACGCTCAACCCAGGATATCAATGTCAAGGATATAGTCACGCTATAATAGCACGCTTATGGATCATATTTTTGATGGTACATCTTATGCACAATCAGTCCTGTTGGATATCTACGTGGATTAATCAAAGTTTGCAATCACACGCAAAACATGAACCGTTGTTTCACAATCACTTTCGCAATCATACTGCAAATCCAACGCAAGCCCAAATATAGATTGTAGTGATATTGCAAGACTTGCATCCACTCATCTATTGTATATACACAGATTGATCGAGTAGATAATCTCATCTGGATCGAGAGCAATAATCAGAAAGTCCATAAACTGGAAGGTAAGATTGAAAGTTTTGGCCATGGTTGCCATGAATAGTCAATGAACAGTAACGAAGAAAAAATAATAGTAATAAATAAAGCCATCTATAAAAGTTAGCTTAGTTTTGCTGTGAAACCAAAAATGGTGAAACTGTAAGTTGTAAAAGTTAACTCTAAAAAGTTTTTTGTATTTAAGAATACTTCAGGTTGACAAAACATTTCCTTGTAAAATAAACCTTGAAATATTTCTCTAGTTGAAATTACTCGTAAAGAAAGAAAAAGATATGTTACCAAGAGTTTTGAAATAAATTAGGAGAAATATGTTCTTAAAGAAAATGATTTCAGTAGCTAGATAAATTCCTTGATCATATCCAAGTATATATGAAAGTTTAAACTTGATAATTAACTATAAAATATTGTTCAGTAAAAGAATATGAATATTTATTTTGGTATGAAATGAAAACCTTATTTTATTTAAATATGAAAGATATACATGAAAATATTTGTAATAAAAAAGACCGAGTAAGCAATTTTTGTCTATTTCGGATTGGATGACAAATTATTTCATGGTGACAATAAATGATGTCATTAAGAAGCAAAGGCGGAGTCATAACATAATTGAAGAATTATTCATCTCGACTATTACGGAAAGATGATTGTACACATTACGGTTCTTAATGTAGGCGGAAGCAATTCATGATTCCAATAGAGGTAACATTGTTAAGCAAGGACCATTCACACATGATGAAAGCCCAGATCACGCTAAAAGCTAGAACAAAATGAGTACATTTGGATGTCATAGATGATCCATTCCTGCTTGTGAGACCTTCTATGTGGTTGGGATCAGTCTAAGCAGGGGTATCGAGATCAGCACCGCAGATGAAGCAAGAGACCAAAAATATATAGACCTGGACAACATAATAATGGAGTCAATGAAACATGGCCAAAATGACTGTTGTTGAATGAATAGTGGGCAATTAGGTTTTAGTTTTAAATACATGAGAATAGAGCCAAAGAGTCATTATGTTGAAGGGACTTTTATCAGAAAAAATGACTATAGATGACCAAAAGGAAACATGGATGCGACAGTCAATAAGGACTAAGATTTTTTAAGTAACATTGGTGACAACCCTATACATGTGCTACAAGGAGAAAAGCGATGCATCTAGCCCGCCCAAAGTTCTGTTTAGTCATTTTGTCATTATGAGTTGTTCTAAAATGAAACCTAACCCGTGCATAAAATGAGAGCTACATAATTTGTTCCAGTTTAAATATATACAATGCTAAAGTAAGAGATTAACAATTAACTTTCAAGAATTTATTTCTGATATACCTGGCAAATTTCATCTCTGCCATGTGAATCTTCCTTGGCGAATGATATGACAGGCTCTGATGAAAGCAAACTTGATCTTTCTTCATGGGCTCAAACTCCTGTGAGGATTGTACATAACCTCGTATTCGTGCATTGTTTTCTGATGATTATCATAGACTTGGCAAACTATAGGGGATCTCTATTCCATTGTTATCTCAATGAACAGCAAGATGTTTTCTGCTGCGTAGAATCAGGAGACCGCTCACCGCCCGACTGGTTCTCTGAAAGCTCTTCATCTTAAGAAAGCAGATTCGGAATTGTTATCGCCATCTTTCCTGTTTTCTGGGTTTGAGATTTATAATAAGTCTTGCGCACGTTATTAGTTGCTTATCATAAGATAACACGAAGAAGCCTGCAAGAAGGGCAGTATGTTATCAATAGGCATGCTGGAGTCAAACGTACGCGTATCACTAAAAGGAGTTTTGGTAATGTATCCCCGAAAAGAATTCAAGAATCCACAAATTGTAAGTGATGTGAATTGAGTGGCATATCTATTTAACTGAACCAAAATACAGCACAGAGATACGAAGATATAAACCCAGATAAGGAGCCATAAACTCAGAGAAAGAAGAGGACAACTGACTTGCTATAGCTTCTATAGACATTGAAGTTAAAAAAAGAAGACGATTGCGAGCTAACTAAAAAGAGTAAAACCTAGAAGAAGAACTAAACCGAAATTGGCAAACTCTACATACATGTGACATGATAAAAACACAACTGACCAACTATATCAAGCTTGTTACGCCCATGCCATACTCAAATTAATTTTTACTAAATCTGCCATCGTATCTTATTATTTTACTGGCAGCTGTGCTTCTATGAACTTTAGTTCCTGTTATATGGAGACGAAATCAGGAAGAATATCGGATGGTTTAGCAATTATGATACTCAGTTCTACATAATGCTGCTGACAAAATAATCTGTTAGGCGTTTCTTTAACTCACATCATAGCAGAATAATTTCTGGCAAGCTTTAATAAAAGAAGAACATAGATGTATTTCTGAATTAGTGATTTAGTTTTAAATTTAACCTCTTGTCCTGTCGCTTCCTAACATACAGAATTGCTCTATGTGTATTAGGGTTGTGGCTGTCAGGAGTTAAAACTAGATATATCAAGCGTGTCTGTTGTAGCTAAATTGACATAATCAAAAAGTCTGTAGCTTTCAACAATAACTGATTCGAATTACCGTCGACTCAATTCATTAACAAATAAACTAGCTTGATTCGAAGGGTGATTTTCATACTGAACTTCATGTACATAACGCATCGTCAGCATCGAGTAAATGGATTAGTTTTTGAGACTTCAAATTGACGTAGTGAAAGTATTTGTTTCGACGTGAGAATTAGCTACAAAAGCCTTATGCTACAAAGCTCTTTTTCGTGACGGATAGCTGTGTGTAGTGTTACTAATCAATTTTGTCTTGTAGCCGGTTTTATTCTTTGTATACTATAAATTTTGCATGTATATGCTCTTGGTTTTTCATGATTTAAATAGGGATAAGGTTTCATTCATACGGATAAATTATTGTTCATATTCTTTTTACTGTAAGCCTCTCCTCATTATTTAGTAATTATCAGTTTAAATTTCAATATATAATCTTTGATATGGATGCAAGGAATTTATCTAGCTTACTGAAATCTTTTTCTTTAGAACATAGTGTACTCCCGTAATTTATTCTCAAAACCTCTTTGTATATTTTTTCTTTCTTTAACGGAGTAAAGTTCAACTTCAGTAAAAATATTTTTCAGGTGTGATTTACAACGAAAATGTTTGTCAAACCTGAAAGTATTTCTTAAATACAAAAACTTTGTAGAGAGTTAACTTTTACACTTAGCAGTTTCACACAATTTTGTTTCACAGCAAAAGCTAAGGCTACTTTTAAGATGCTTTATCTTATTACTATTATTTTTTCTTTCGTTTATTTTCATTGACTATTCATCGGCACCAATGGCAAAATTTCATCTTACTTCTTCCTTTTTAAGTTGGTCTGATATATTTGTGGCTCGTCCTCGGTTGCGGATCCAATGAAGATTTACAATCTACTCTGAGATTCTATCTGTTATGATACAGTGGAAATGATCGGAAATGCAAGTCTTGCAAGCTATTACTACTAATCTATTTATGTGGCTTTAGCGTTGATTTGCAGTATGGATTGCGAAATGATTGTGAAGCAAGGTCATGTTGTGTTGTGATTGCAAACTTTGGATTAACCACTAGCGATATCAACAGCGCACAATGATTGTGCATGAAGATGTACCATCCAAAAATAATGATCCATAACTGCTATTATAGGTATCTATATCTTGGACATTGATATCCTGGTGTGAGTTTCTTGACATTATATGACTTCTATGATTTGGACATCTGATCCGACTAAGATCGACTGCACTCTCTTGATTAGACATTTCTGGACGACATGATGATTTTCCTAATTTTAACAGAAGTATTCCTCCGTCTCGATTTATGGGTAATACATTAATTTTCATGCACATTTCGTTTACAAGTTGACAAATATAGCTCATTTTAATTCATTGGGATATCTCAGAAATGCTGGATATAAGTTTTTACATTGCACGTACTAATTTATACTGGTTAGGTGCTATATGGATACGAGCAGCCAAAGAGTGCTATGTGTTGGCTATGTTACAAAATCAAAAACTCGTCCATAATGAGTAAATATATAATCGAAGTTTAGGATGTTACATACATGGTTTGAGTAATTTCACTTCAGTAGAGTAATAGAGGAGGGGCACATATGTCTCGAAAACAGGTGATTCGTCCAATCATCATCCATATAAACTAGTCAACTTAGATGAATCTGTCTTTGTAGAAATGTACTTTAATCAGAAAGTTTGCTCGTATACTGCGCTCGTATTATTCAGTAAGGGTCTAAGTTCCATGGCATCTCACCACATTCTGAATCTCGGTACTCTTTTCTAAGATTAATCGAATTTCCATTCGTGTTTCAGCTAGACTCAATCACGTCGTGTTGCCTAGCAGTACATTATACGGTGGATCACTGTAAGGCCTCTATGACCAAATTTATACGACGTATTAAAACTCTGAACGAATAAGCTTCAGTTCAAAAATAAACAATAGGTCCCATATTATTCATGTATATCGCCTAGGCCAAAAATGTAATTAAGTTTATAAGACAGCGTTGTCAATGTTACCATTTCCAAATGTTAAACAAGTGTGCGCTAAGAGAAGAAAATAAGTCGACGAAAGAACTGTCGACAGTGTACTTGTCAGGAGATGTTAATCTCTAATACTATCTGACAGTAACAGGCTCAAACAAGATATGTCATGATTGTGTACTTGTGCAACAATGCTAATTATAGTTCACTACCGGTCACTATAGTACACTGCAGGAAGGGGATTGTGATATCATACAATACGGGATAAAAAAACAGCAGGCGTGCAACAAAGTACAACTGGTCCCAAACTTCAACATGTAAATCATACCAGGCTAACAATTATCAACCAAGGCATGAAGGTTTTACCATTTAATATAAAAACACATGTTATGTCTTGGGCTCTACGAATGCTCACCTGAGAACCTTCTAAGCAGAAGCGCTGTGAATTCTGATTATGAAAGTTAGGGGATTCTCTATAGTTCCCTTTCTTATATGTATATACGAAGATGCACAACACATCAGTTACGGACATACAGCATGGCACACAAGCATCAGTTACAGGACATAACAGCATGGCACAATACATACGATCGAAGGCTATAAGATTTTAAACAGCATAAAGGATGACAATAGCGGCCTGCGCTTTAAAAAGGAATATTAATTGCGTATGACACTGAGAATGGGAGATGATAGATGCTGAAAAAGTATAGGAAGTCTAGAGCTTATTCAATAATCAGAAGGGAAAATCAATAATCAGTCGGACACACTATTTAATTGATCATGAGGGTTGAGTTTGCGAACGGGGGATAAGGTACGAATTAAGACGTATGGAGGTAAGTAGAACATAGGTGCTAGAATATGGAACAGACGAAGGAGAAGAGAATCGTCGAATAAGGAGCGAAATGAGAGTGGTAATGAATTTTAATATGTTTTGAGTGATAGATGACGGTCTTGAAATAAATTAGACTTCAAGCACAATTACTTGCAACTGTACAGTAAATCACAGAACAGCGTAACAAAGATACGATAGAATGAACCTATGAACCAACAGAACCCAGGAAAGAGAGCGACTGCAGATACGGATCGGCCTGGATGAGGTTCATTTATCTGATACTTTGTTACCTGTTCTGTGATTTCTTACAGTTGCAAGTAATTGTGCTGAAGTCTAATTTTATTTCAAGACCGTCATATTTACATTGATTTTTTCCCTTCTGATTATTGAATAAGGCTCTAGACTCCTATACTTTTTCAGCATCATCATCTCCCACTTCCTCAGTGTTCATACGCAATTAATATTCTTTTTTAAAGCGCAGGCGCTATTGTCATCCTTTATGCTGTTTAAAATCTTATAGCCTTCGTGCGTATGTATGTGTGCCATGTGTATGTCCGTAACTGATGTATGTGTGCCATGTGTATGTCCGTAACTGTGTGTTTGTGCATCTTACGTACATACATATAGAGAAAGGGGAACTATGAGAATCCCCCTAACTTTCATAACAGATTCACCAGCAGCTCTGCTTAGAAAAGTTCTCATGTTAGCATTCGGTAGGAGCAAGACAAACATGTGTTTTATATATTTAAATGGTAAACCTTGCCTTGGTTGTATAATTTGTTAGCCTGGTCATGTCTTACATGTTGAAGTTTGGTCCAGTGTACTTTGGCTGGTTTTTTTCCTTTTGTTTCACAATCTCCCTTCTGCATGTAGCTATATGCACGTGGAACTATAATTAGATTGTTGCCACTTAAACATCTGACAGTATCTTGTTTGGGCCTGTGTAGTATTAATTAAACATCTGACAATTAAACGTCCGACAGTTCTTTCTGATATTATTTTCTAGCAAAATATTGTTTACTCTTGGAATGGTAACTTGGACACGCAGTTTTACTACTAAAATTTTTTGGGCCTGCATAGTACCATAATAATATGTGTTTATTTTTGAAATCTTGAAGCTTATTTAGTTGTGATGTGTAATAGGTCTTTAATTGCCGTTCATGGGCTTCAGTTCGAGTTATGACTGCTGAACAACGGATGGAGCTGCTGAAACGAATGGAAATTGATAATCTAGAAAAGAGAATACCATTCAAAGAATGTGTTGAGATTGCCAGGGAACTTGACCTTTCTGTAGAGCAGGTTAGAAGCAAACTTTCTGATTCAAGTTACATTTCTAAAGCATTCTTAAGTTGCAGTTTGTAGATGATGACGAATTGTTTCGACATTGTGCCTCCTCTAGTACCTACTATGAATTACTCAACCATGTTTAAATGCAACGTCTATAGTAATATGAGGTCTGTTTTCAGCAACAACAATAGCACTTGGCCCTGTATCATATGTATATAACCCAGTATAACAGGTACGTGCATTTAAACCGCTTTATATCCACCATCTAATTCCCCCTTATTAAAACTGCATATTTGTCAACTTGTTAAACTGACTGTGCATGAAATGTTATGTACTACCCATAAAATGACCGAGGAAAGACTTCTGTAAAACTATGAAAAATATCAGTGGTCCAGAACATGTCTAATCAAGAGAGGTGCATCGTCTAGTCGATGTTATAGTAATAATTGCCAAGGAAAACCTCACACCAGGATATCAATGTCAAGGATATAGTCACGCTATAATAGCACGCTTATGGATCATATTTTTGATGGTACATCTTCATGCACAATCAGTCCTGTTGGATATCCCTAGTGGATTAATCAAAGTTTGCAATCACACACAACATGAACCGTTGTTCACAATCACTTTCGCAATCATACTGCAAATCCAACGCAAGCCCAAATAATAGATTGTAGTGATATTGCCAAGACTTGCATCCACTCATCTATTGTATATACACAGATTGATCAGAGTAGATAATCTCATCTGGATCCGAGAGCAATAAATCAGAAGTCCATAAACTGGAAGGTAAGATGAAAGTTTTGGCCATGGTTGCCATGAATAGTCAATGAACATAACGAAGAAAAAATAATAGTAATAAATAAAGCCATCTATAAAAGTTAGCTTAGTTTTGCTGTGAAACCAAAAATGGTGAAACTGTAAGTTGTAAAAGTTAACTCTAAAAAGTTTTTTTGTATTTAAGAATACTTCAGGTTTGACAAAACATTTCCTTGTAAAATAAACCTTGAAAATATTTTCTAGTTGAAATTACTCGTTAAAGAAAGAAAAAGATATGTTACCAAGAGTTTTGAAATAAATTAGGAGAAATATGTTCTTAAAGAAAATGATTTCAGTAGCTAGATAAATTCCTTGATCATATCCAAGTATATATTGAAAGTTTAAACTTGATAATTACTATAAATATTGTTCAGTAAAAAGAATATGAATATTTATTTTGGTATGAAATGAAAACCTTATTTTATTTAAATATGAAAGATATACATGAAAATATTTGTAAATAAAAAATAAAACGGTACAAGAAATAATGATTATAACACTAAACTACAGCTCCGTCACGAAAAAGAGCTTTGTAGATTAAGGCTTTGTAGACTAACTTCTCACTCGAAACAAATACTTTCACTACTCAATTTGAGTCTCAAAAACTAAATCCATTTACTCATGCGTGAACGATGGTATGGTACATGGAAGTTCAGTATGAAATCACCCTTGAATCAAGTAGTTTATTTTTGTCTAATGATGAGTCGAGGTAATTCGAATCATGAATATTGTTGAAGAAGTACAGACTTTGTTCTTGATTAGTTCAATTTAGCTACAACAACACGCTTGATATGATCTAGTTTTAACTCCTGACAGCCAACCCTAATACACCATGAGAATTCTAGTATGTAGGAAGCGGTACAGGACAAAGACGTGTAAATTTAGAACTAAATCATAATTCATAAATAACATTATGTTCTCTTTTATTTAAGCTTTGCAGAAATTTATCTGCTATGATGGTGAAGGTTAAAGAAGAACGCTATAACAGATTATTTTGTCAGCAGCATTATGTAGAACTAGTACATAATGGTACCATGATATTCTTCTTGCTTTCGTCTATTAACAGGATACTAAAGTTCATAGAAGCATCAGCTGCAGTAAAATAATAAGAACGATGGAGATTTAGTAAAAAAATAATTGAGTAGTGGCTGGGGTAACAAGTTGATATAGTTGGTGCAGTTTTGTTTGTTATCATGTCACATGTAGTGTAGATGTTTGCAATTTCGTTTGTTCTTTTCTAGGTTTATACTCTTTTTATGTTACTGCAATCGTCTTTCTTTCTTAACTTCAAATGTCTATAGACTTATACAAGTCAGTTTCTCTCTTTCTTTTCTCTGAAGTTTATGGCTCCTTTCTGGGTTTATATTCTTGGTATCTCTGTTGCTTTATTTTTGGTTCATTTAAATAGATATAATCAAGTTCACATACTACAATTTTTGTGGACTTCTTGATATTCTTTTCGGGGATACATTTACCAAAATCCTTTTTGTGATAGCGTACGTTTGACTCCAGCATTCCTATTGATAACATACTGCTTCTTGCAGGTTCTTCGTGTTTCTTATGATAAGCAACAAAAGCGTGCGCAGAGAACTTATAAAATCTCAAACTCAAGAAAACAGGAAAGATGTACGGATACAAATTCCGAATCTGTTCTTAAGAAAAGGAGGCTTTCAGAAGAGAAGTCGGTTGAGCGTGCTCCTGATTCTACGAGCAGAGAAACATCTTGTGTTCATGGAGATAACATGGATAGAGATCCCTCTATAGCTGATGCCGAAGTCCATGATAATCTCATGGAAACATGCACGAATACGAGTTATGACAATCCTACCACAGAGTTTGAGCCCCATGAAGAAGATGATCAAAGTTTGTCTTTCATCAAGAGCTGTAATGTCATTCGCCAGAGAAGATTCACATGGACAGATGAATTTGACAGGTATATCAGAAAATAATAATTCTTTTTTAAAGTTAATGTTAAATTCTACTCTTAGCATTTATATATTTAAACGGAAACAACATTTATGTATTCTCATTTTATGCTACGGGTTAGGTTTCATTTTAGAAAACTATAATGACAAAATGGACTAAACAGAACTTTGTGGCGGGCTAGATGCATCGCTTTTCTCCTTGTAGCACTGTTAAGGGTTGTCACCAATGTTACTTAAAAAGATGTTATGTCCTTTTGACTGTCGCATCCCATGTTTTCCTTGGTCTATCTATAGTCTATTTTTTCTGTAAACTATCCCTTCACACATAATGGACTCTTGGTACATTCTCATGGTATTTAAAACTACCTTTAATTGCACTATTCATTCAACAACAGTCATTTTTGGCCATGTTTCATTGACTCCTTATTATGTTGCTCCAGGTCTATAATTTTAGTTCTCCTTGCTCCATCTGCTGTGATCTCGGATACCCCTCTTAACTGACACCCATAGAGGTCTCGCGACTCATCATGACCTCCAAATGTACTCATTTTGTTCTAGCTTTTAGCGTCTGCTTTTCATCCATTGTAATGGTCCTGTTTCAACAATGCTTACTTTTGAACATGCTTCTTGCCTCACATTATGACCGTAATGTGGTACAATCTTTTACCCGTAATATCATGGATATTCTTCAATTATGTATACTCCGCTTTCTTCTATGAACATCATTTTTGGTTGTACCACCATGATTAATAATTTGTCATAAATCCGAAATAGCAAAAATTGTTACTCGGTCTTTCTCAGTCATCAATATGACCTTCTCATTGTGTCTACTCGCAGAATTGCAAAATTTTAATTTCAATAACTTTTATCTTACCTTCTCATTGTGTCTACTCGCAGAATTGCAAAATTTTAATTTCAGTAACTTTTATCTTATAATTATATACACTGTATATTTAGTGCTTCTCTCTATCTTTATTATACACGCGTCTCATCAGCAATACGTTATTGTTATGACAAACCTGATGTCATTGGACTTGATCAAAATTCAGACCTAGTCTATTAAGTTTACGTTATTATACTTAAGAACCCTTCTCAGAGCAGACTTAAGAGAGGCACACATCAACCTGAGCACTGACACAAATTTCCTCTTAATATGCGCCTTTCATATTGTTTTTTCATATGTGATGTTTTGCAGGCAATTAGTTATGCAATATGCAAGGTATCGTGTAATTATGGGGGAAAGGTTTAGTCGTGTTATATGGTCCTCTGTACCTAATCTTCCGACAGATCCATTGGCATGTGGTAGAAGAATGAACAAAATAAATAGTGATATGAGTACTAGGAGGGCTGTGATGAGGCTGTGTAATCTTCTTGGTGAACGATATGGCCGTTATCTTAACAATGGGAGAACAGTGAGGAAGAATATTCTGAATCTTGGTGATTCTGCAAAGAGCATCCAACAGTCTAGAGCGGATGAAACTATTGATCGCCATCTAGTTATTCCTGAGGATACTGAAACTAGCTTTCGGCAAAGTTCATGGGATGATTTTGATCACCCAGACATCAAGATGGCTGTTGATGAAGTTCTTAGATGCAAGAAGATGACAAAGGCTGAACACACCAAAAAAAGTGGGGCACGACATGGACAAGGATGCCTGGATACTCCAACAGACGGAACAAACTTGGATTTCCAGGAACATGTAAGTGCCCATTAACTTCTTAATTTCTCTACTATAGAAATGCCAAAGCCCTAAGTGTGTATGTGTCACATCATCATGTAAATATTAGAAAAGAAAATGATAAGCACTGTTAAAAAAAAATGAGGCCACCATCTTATTCCGAATGGAGGCATTTCAATTTCATAAAACTATGAGATTCGTTATATTCAAATTTCTTCATGGAACCTTCTGACTTCAAGTTGTACTCATTTTCATATAAATATAAAAAAGGGCAGCCCTGTGCACAAAGCTCCCGGTGTCTGGGGAGGGGTTGGACCATTTTCATAGATATTCAAAGTCAAAGTTTTAATGAAGAATTAAATTACTTATCTTTACTTCTTGATTATATCAGTATTTGCATGTGCCAAAATTCTAGATTTTTTCTTATATGAACTAAAATTATTTTGGTTTCAGGTTACCCCAACAGAACATATTTCAGCAAGCCATGCAGAGAGCAATGCGAGCCATTGTGAAACGGGGACCAAGAATAGCAACATTCTTCAAATCAGTGATCAAAGTAGGTCAATTTCTCACCATTCTCGTAGAAAGTTTCTGAAACTTTCAAATAGCAGAAGGATTGAGGTTGAAAGGAAAGTATGTGAATCAACAACGGTTGCCAATGCAGTGGAGCTTCTCAAGCTGGTTTTTCTAAGTAACTCAGCTGTTCCTGAAGGACAGACATCCTTAGCTGAAACATTGCAACTGTATCCTAAGTCTGACCTTATTGCTGCCTTTAATTATCTGAGGGAGAAAGATTTTGTGGTATGCATTAGCATCTGTAGTTTACACATTGACTAATAGTATCTTTTTTTACATCTGTCAGAAATTATTTTCTTTTCATTCCAATTTTTTAACTTGGTTATTGGATAAGTTCTCTTAATGATTTTATTATTAAGTTATTAGTGACTCAGTTTTCTTGTGTTGTTTATTTGGCAGGTCATTAGGAATGGAAATCAACCACTACTTTCCCAGAAATTTTGGCATAATGCATCTTCGTCTCCGTTTCCAGTTGATTCAGGCAAAAGAGCTGCTTTGTTTTCATCTTGGCTCCACGAGAAAGACAAATATCTGAAAGATGGGATAGATCTTGGCAAAGATATACAATGTGGTGAAATTTTTCACCTTTTTGCATTTGTTGCATCCGGAGAAGTTCTTATTTCACCTACCTTACCTGAGGAAGGAATTGGGGAGGCAGATGAATCCAAAAGTTCACAATGTCTATTAACGGCAGATGATGATCTGAACTACTTAAATGCTAGTAGTAATGAAGCAGAAATACCATGCGATGGGGAGAAGGATAAAAAACAAAAATCTCTATGGAAGGTGGATAGTGATTTTTGCTCCCGCCGAGAAAAAGGGTTTCCCGGTATCAAGGTATTCATAAATCGTGCTACAATTCCAAGAGTTGATGCTCTCCAATGCGCAGAAGCTAATGAGGATAGGATGTGCTCCTCGATTTATAATGAGATGAAGAGGCCCAGTTATTCAGATATAAAGAGCGTGACTTTTGAATCTTTATTAAGCAGGTCGAGTTTGCCAGATAACTCTGGCTGCAAAATTCAGTTGGAAGGGGACCCTGATAGATCGCCATGCTATGAGATGAGCAGATATGCTGAGAATCTAGCAGCAGTAATGGTCGGCAGTTGTGGAGTTTTTAATTTTTGTCCAGAACTATTTAGATCTGTTTGTTCTGTCATTGATAAGGCTGGTGAACAAGGGTTGAGTGTTGAAGAAATTTCTAGATTGACAAGTGTGCAAGGTACAATTTTCTCTTTCATCCAGCAAGCTTCCTAAAATATTATTGTGGATCAAGAATGACTTCTAATAATGTTCACTTCATTGTTTACACAGAAGTGCGATTGACAGAAGTAGTGGTCGAGACGCTTGAAATTTTCCAACTAGCTTTCAAGGTATTAGTAACTGACGCTACAAGCATGTTGATCTGTTCTCACGAGTCATTAAAGAAAACCTGTTCGTCCTTTGTCAAATATTCACGAATATTTTATCGAATATTAAAGTATAATTTTTTCACTACTAGTTATTACTTTTTTATGGTTGAACCTTCAACTAAAAACATACTTTTGTTTGGTTAAAGAAATATTTTTTCCTGAAAGAATTCGATTTTAAATAGTATTTAAATTTATAATAAAAACTGTTCCTTTGTAATTATGATGTAAGAACCTTAATGTGAATATTTGGTTAAAAACTGATTTAAGACTCTTTATGTCTCTCAGAATGTAAGTGGGTTACAAACATAAAATTATTTGTGTAATGGTATGAATTATAAGCGAAGAACTTAAATGAATATTTGATAAGAAAATGAATCGAATATACATTTCTTTAAATTCTAATCTTTTATGAATCTGAATATTAAAAGCTATTTTGTTACTGTTAAGTGAACTACTGAATTGAATGTAACCATACAGTAACTTGAACAATTAATGAATTATTTGTTAATTATTTGGTTTGTTTCCATCCCTAGTTTTATCCATGATTACTATTATTAATCTTGTGCCATTGGTATTTTTGCTACATCTATATCGAACTTACAAATTCAATTCCATTTTTTAGTAGAGGACAATGGATGCGTTGTGTTTTGCTAGTTTGAGGCTAGGGACATGGGATATCTTTGTGAAAATTCTTCATGGTGCTTGCCAGTAGTATTCACGTTTCGCATGACTGATTTCATTACCTTAATTTGTAATGATGTACTCTGAATTAGACATCACGAACTAATCCCTAGCACTCTTACTGCCTTAACCGATAGAAAGTTAAAAATTTTGAATGGTTTATAGTTCATTCCTATGCAGCCCTAGGACCGAGTTTCTCAGGGGATCAATGCTGTGGATGACACAGATTATTTTTGTTTCTTTTCCTATGTTTCTTCCAGAAAATTGAACTGCAGTTACCAATACACATCTTGGGTTAATATTTTTTGTAACTGATGACTATATTCCATTTCAGGTTAATGCATACGATTGTGTCCGAGTAGTTGCTTCTTCGCACAGATCAAAATACTTCATTGGCCTTCATGCTGATCTGGCTAGTTGTGAGAATGATAAAGGCATGAGGCTCTCTGATGGGCATAAACTGACTCGCCTTGATAAGCCGCCGAAGCCTGGCGTACCTCAAGGCGAAACCCAACTGAGTAGACAAAGTCTCACATCTGATGAATGCAATCAGACCCATGCATTGAGGAATGAGTCTGAAAACAGATTGTCCTCTGTTGCAGGTGTCTCAAATGGCCACCAGTCTTTATTGCCATGGATTAATGGTGATGGAAGCACCAACAGCATTGTATACAAAGGTCTTACCCGTCGAGCTCTGGGGACAGTCATGCAGAACCCTGGTATATTGGAGGTATGGGTTTCCTTGTTTGTATTCAAATGTGAACTTAAGGAATGAATCGACTGCTTAGTTGTAGAATTATTTAAAATATTTTTGGACCAGACATCATGAACAACCATCACTGCCTTGCATTGTATGAGGACTGTCATGTATAGTTCTGGTAAATTAGACCTATGTGTTACATCATTTACTGTCTAATTTAACCTCACTAATTAAGTAAACTAAATAGGTTTTAGAAATATCAAATGTTTGTACGTCATATACCATCTTGGAATAAGATGATCAAGCTTTCTATTATATATCATGCTATAAGATGACATAATGCATAGTCACCCTTGAGTATGTGCATATATTACATATGCAATTCATGTGCATGGTGAAAATATCTTTGATAGATAGACTTGAATGCAAGTGCACAACTGCATAACTTTTAAAACCTTTCTACCACTAATTTCTCTCGAGAAAGTGCATCCCACAAATGTTTGATTTTCAAACACTCAACTCAAATTAGAGAATTTGAAAATACCGCAAGCTGCGGTTAAAGTTTTAAATCCTATTTTTGGGTAATAGAATCTACTATAAATACCCTAATCGAACTTATATCAAGGAACAATATACTCATAAATGTAAACTTCCAGTGAGAACCGATTTAGAGCATGATACACTAAGTTGCATGGGTACAGGTATGGGTACGCCACGGGTACGCAACACGGCAAATTTGTAAAAGGTAGGGTATGAGACACAACTATAAATATGTTTTCTATGTATACTTATATGTATTCAAACTAATAATTTACATAAGATCAATGTTGTGTTTTCATTAACATGAGGTCAATATATTAGAGATGGATGTCAAGAGTAGAATACACATCCAAGAAGTGTATGAGGAGTGTTTTAAATTAGAAAAATGTAGTATATAGTTGAATATATGCTTGAACAAATGTATGCTTATATTCACCAAGTGTCCAAGAAGTTTGGGTACGGGTTCGGCTATGTGTCGGCTACGGGTACGGCTTCTAAATAGAAGTACCCATGTAACATAATTGATATGGGAACTTCTATTTGGCTAAGTTTAGTTTGTATCCCTCGCAAATTTCGAGCCATGTAGGACTAAGGGCGTATTGCTGAAACTTATTTACTTATAAAGCAGCTCGTAGAAGCAACTTATATAAACTACTGAAAATAGCAGTTTGGAATCAAATATCAAAACTGATTAAAAAAAATAGTTAAGATGTTTGGTAGAACTGAGCTTAATGATCATTACTAAAAGATGAAAAATATATATGGTATATAAACTAAAAAGATAGAAGCTGCTTTTAAAAGCATCATCAGATTGCTTCTAAAGCACCATCTTAAAAGTAGAAGCAATTTCAATAAGCATGCCCAAAAAGACTTCACCCTCGAATCTCGTCGTCGACTCTTCCCTCGAAGCTCGTTGTCGACTCCTCCCTCGAAGCTCGTCATCCCTTGAAGCTCGTTGTCCTTCAAAGATCGTCGTTTCCTCCCTCGACTGCCTTCCCTCTTCAGGTTCGTAACCTTTACCCCCCTCCCCCCCCCCCCCCCCGCGCCGTGTCCCTGCCGTTTGGGTGCGGATCCGCACCCAAAACGTACCCGACACGGGTACGGGGCCAATTTGGCCGTGTCGGGGTAACATAGGGTCTAGGCAATGGGTTGATTGAGGATGTACAATGTTGTAGAATGACCGACCCGACATTTGATTTGCAGTGAGATTATGCATGGTATTTTGCATGTATCTTTATGCACACGCCTCCACACACGCATGCGCTCATGCATATCTTTTTTATGCATGATTCTGCTTGAGTGAGCGAGTGAGTTTGTGTGGAGGTCTCTCCCCTTTTAATAAATTCATTTGGTTGAGAATGAGGCACATCATATGGCCTTGATATGACAAGGATGTCCATTTTATCCTTGATATTGCCCACAAGTTTGACTGACCAGATATGTGGTTGATTCTCTAAATTCTTCGAGTTTGTAAATTTCTACTTGAGTCCATATGTGATCAGAGTAGGTTCTTACTACAATTATCAACTTTTTCATGATTGCAGGAAGATATCATTCATCAAATGGACGTTTTAAATCCTCAGGTGTGTTTTTCAATAGCAAAATAAATAAATAATGAAGTGTGTTTCTTGTGTTTATGCTGTTCTCATAATTTCTTCTTGTATGATTTGTTCCTGTGCAGAGCTGCCGGCGGCTGCTTGAGAGAATGGTTCTCGATAACCACTTGATTACGAGGATGGTGGTGCATCAAACTGCTTCAATTTCATCTCCATCAATACTCCATTCTCTTTTCCAGTCTGATCTTACCAAACAAAGACGAGAGTTTCGGAAACATTACTTTGCTAATCCCTTGAGCACTTCCTTACTTTAGCGTATGCTTACAGTTTGACATAGTCAAAATAAGCTAGTATAGTCTTTTAATAAGCTTATATCTGTACAGTATATGTTGATATTTTGTGGGAAAAGTTTTCTGTAAAATTTAATGTAACATGTCTCTCAGGTATCTTTCTTAATCTTAAATGTACGCATTGATCGAAACATGTACATTGTTTCCAATCTGGACGATGTTTTATGAGTTTTACAGTCTTAAACATTCCTTTGTTTTCTAGAGCTCTCTCAATAGCCTTATGCGTATGGCTACTTACGGACACCAAACTCAATTTTAAGAAATTAGCAGATTCACAATCATTGATGTGTTTTTTGGGGAAACCATCTATATTGAGACGCGCTCTTTTATAGTCACCGCAACTGCTGTTCGAATTCACGAGGAGAAAAATAACAAGGGGAAAAAAAATATTTCTATTTACTTTTAAGAATACGATTATAGATAGATAAATCAAACAACTGCAACTGTAATCGCGTGCAAGAAGAGTTGCGGTATCTCAGTTACATGTAAGTAATCTTTTCATTGCAACTATAGTTGCAAGTTACCAAATTCTCCCTAAGAGAAACTAAAGTTTGGAATTAATGATGAGTTCTTAATGTTCATAGCATTTCACATGGAAGGGCCATATGTTTCTGTTTTGAGTTAATCATGGATAGGCCTCCTCTATGTGTTTGTTTTGTAGTTACCGTATCTTAGAGATAGACCCTTTGAATGAATCTCTCGACTTTTTTTACCATCGGAAAAAGAGGAAATTATTTTCTAACTAATAGACCTCCTAAGATAAAAGAGTCAACAAATTTCACTCAGGGGTCTGCTAGGGATTTTATGGAGATTAATCCGCGGAATTAAATGCTAAACAAATAACGACACCAATAAAAATACCACAAGTAAGCAAACACCAAGATTTAATGTGCTTCGACAAATCGTGCCTATGTCCACGGGACAATCCGGAAAAATATTTCACTATGAATCAAGAGTACAATTCCTCCAAGTTACACCTGAACTTGAGGGCTAAATCACAAGAGAAAGATACAGTGTTACCTCTAGGGCACCAACACACTAAAACCCATCTTATTAAAAATCTCCAACACCCGCGGAGAAACCAGCATCGTACCCTTGACGGCGTCGTCGTTCTGAAGACAACGGCTTTTGAATCACTACAATCGAACAACCGAGCTATCCGGAATCTTACCTTTTCTCTCTCCCCCCTCCCTTTTTCTTTTTGGTTATTGTTCACGGGTTGCTGTAGCGGTTACTATTCACAAAAAATTGATTACAGGGTTCTCATAAATAGAATTCTCCAAACTTATTCCTATTACAATTAGATCATCAAAATCCTCATCTAGATAGAATTTTAACTCATGTAGATCTCATGTGGGCCTTATCTTCGGCTTGATCCACAACAATCTCCATCTCCAACCCAACGAGGGGGTATGCCAATCTGTAACTCCTCAACGGGAGTTTATGCCGGCCAATCACCGACACAACTCTGTCTTTTATCTGGAAACGATCTTCGTTAAAAAATCTGTTGGATTTTTATCTTTGTGAATCTTCTATAGCTTTAGGTCCTCTTTCTCAATGGCTTCTCTATGCTAATGATATCTCACATTGATATGTTTCATCCTAGAGTGAAATGTGAAATTCTTGCTCAAATCAAGAGCACTTTGACTATCAATGAAGATTTGTTAATTGTTCTGCTGCAAGTCTAACTTCTGCAAAAATCTTCTCAACCAAATCATTTCATTACCGACTTCTGCAGCTACAATATATTACGCCTCTGTTGTAGATAAAGCAACACATTTCTGTAACATGAATTGTCAAGATATTGCTCCCCCTGCAAAAGTGAACAACCAACCAGAGGTAGACTTCCTGTGATCGAGATCACCTGCCATATCCGTATCTAAAAAGCCATATAATACTGCATTCGAACCTCCAAAACTCAAACACAATCTGGAACTGCCTTTTAAATATTTTAAGATCCACTTTACACCTTCCCAATGAACTTTTTCTAGATTAGAAAGAAACCTGCTCACAACACCAACTGCATGAGCCATATCTGGCCGAGTGCAAACCATGACATACATCAAACTCCCTACAGCTGAAGAGTAATGAATATTCTCCATCTCATGCTTTCCTCATCTATAGTCGAGCAAAACTTTTTGCTAAGCGTCAAATGACCTACAAGAGGAGTACCGACTGACTTGACATCTTTTATGTTGAATCTATCAAGTAGCCATTCAACATATTTCTCTTGTGATAATCACAGCTTCCTGGGCTTTCTGTCACAAGCAATATCCATACCAAGAATCCTCTGTGTCGATCTCAAATACTTCATGTCAAAATATTTAAATAACTCCTTCTTCAGCCCACCGATTATCTGACTATCATGATCAACAATCAACATGTCGTTCATATAAAACAAAAGTATAATGAAGCTAGAATCTAAAAATCTCCTAAAATATACACACGAATCTGTAACTATCCTTTGGTAGCTATGACTCAACATAAAAGAATCAAATTTTTTGTACCACTATCCGGGTGTTTGTTTCAAACCATAGAGGGTCTTCTTCAACCTGCAAACCATTTGTTCTTTTCCCTTTACTTCAAAACCCTCCGGCTGCTCCATGTAGATCTCCTCCTCCAAATCATCATGAAGAAATGTAGTCTTCACATCAAGCTACTCAATCTTGAGGTCTAAACTAGCTGCTAACCACAAGATAACTCTAATGGGCGTCATCTTCACAATCGGTAAAAAAATCTCATCAAAATCAATGTCATTTTTCTGACCAAAACCTTTCACCACTAAATTGACTTTGTATTTCTAAATCTCTTTGTGGCCATCCTTCTTTAACTTAAACACCAACTTGTTCTTTAAAGTTTTTCTGTCCTTTGGTAAATCCACCAACTCATAAGTATCATTCTTCTCAAGAGACTTCATCTCTTCCTTCATAGCCTGGAACCATTTGTCCTTGTCTTTATGAGTATGTGCCTCCTGAAAGATTTCTGGCTCTCCCTTTTCTGTAAGCAAAGAATACTCTAAAAGAGGATATCTCGTGGATGGTCGATGCTCTCTAGCTGATCTCCTAAGTTGTGACTCTGCAAACTCCTGCTACTGGTGATGTTCCCCCTACTAAGGAGCCTCCTGCTCGTGATCCTGATCAATGTCTCCCTGCTCTGGTATCTAACGGTCATCATCAACATCATCATCATGTACATACTCTATATCTGTAGGATGCAACTATACTGGAGACGAAACAGATGTCATATCTGAAATATCACTAACAACACTCTCTGACTGCTCTACTCTCCCGAGATCTGGAATAGTCTGATTCTCCTAAAAAATCTCATCTGCTCGTCTGATAATTCGTTTCTTTTCTAGATCCTATAGTTTGTAGCCGAACTCATCTTCTCCATAATCAATGAAGATGTAAGGAACCGTATCTCTTCTCTTTCGGAATGTGTGCAAACGCCTTGTAACCAAACACCTTCAGATAAGAATAAGAAATATTTTTTCAGACTAAACTCTATCTGGAATATCAAAATCCAAAGGAATTGAAGGAGACCTGTTGATTAGATAGTATGCAGTGCGAACATCTTCAGCCTAGAAGCTCTTAGGTAACTTCGTCATATTCAACATATATCTGACTTTCTCCACAATGGTCCTATTGTACCTCTCTGCAACTCCACTATGCTGCGGTGTGTCGAGCTCTGTCCTCTAATGTCGAATACCGTGTTTGGAGCAATAATCTCTAAACTCAATGGAAGTGTACTCTCCTCCATTATCGGCGCGCAAACACTTTAATTTCTTTCCTGTCTGTATCTCCACCATGACATGAAACTACTGGAAGACTAAAAACACTTGGTCCTTTGTCCTCAATAAGAAGACCCACATCCTCCATGATGCATCATCAATAAATGTAACAAAATACTTATTTCCACCCAAGGACTCCATCTCAATAGGACCATAAATATCAGAATAAATCAAATCTAGGATATTATCTTTTCTTTTAGAATGCTTACTAAAAAAACTCTATGTTATTTGCCAAAAAAACAATAATCACAATGGGTGAGTGACGAACATTTGACAAAGAAAATGAGAGACTTCTTTGTCAATATCTGTAACCCCTTCTCGCTCATGTGCCAGAGCCTCATATGCCACATACTGAGAGTGTCACCATCTTGAGCCACGCTCAAAGAATCTGTAATACCCCAACCCTTGAGAGGGTGATGTGATTAGTATTGATAGATTTGATTGGAATACTCATACCACCAAGATGCATCTTTTTTTCGGGAACCCAACTCTTAGAAACTCCAAAGTTAAGCGTGCTTGGCTTGGAGAAATTCTAGGATGAGTGACCCCCTGGGAAGTTTTCCAGGGAGTGCGTGAGTGAGGACAAAACGTGTTGAAAAGACATGTGGTGGTTTGTGAAGCCAGTCCATCAGATCTAATAGCGTACCGACTCCGAGATTTCGAGGCGGGGCGTTACAGAATCATATGAAGCCTTTGCTTGAGTCTTATATAAATTATAACATATACTTCCTCTAGCCATCACAAGAGAGCCTTTGGTGATTTTATATTTTTCTACAAATTAAATTTTATATCCCATTCGGTCCACAGTAAGACCCGAAATCAAGTTGAGCCGCAAATTGAGAACATGCCACACATTCTTTAAGATCAATGTGTATCCGGTATCTGTCTGCAAGTGTATATCATTAAGTCCCACAGTCTTCGAGTAGCTGGTATTGCCCATCTTCACATTGCCATAGTCACATGTTTACACGACGTGAAAAGATCTCAATTGGAGGTAGCATGACATGTAGCTCATGTATCCACTATCCACTCATAATTTTAACTTGTAACATGCATACAGTCTTCTTCCCTACAAATGAGAATAACACTGGTCTCAAACAAAGTAGTTGTAGTGTCACTATCAGCTTTCTTCTTCTCATCTTTCTCTTCATATTTGTTCCTACCTTGCTCTATCTTTAATGCCCAACAATTCCTCTTGATATAACATAGCTTCCCACAATAAAAGCAATCTCTCTTTTTAGACTTTGATCTTCTCTTGGATGCGCCACGACTTTTGGACTGGTCCATGTACCTACTCCTGCCCCTATTCTCCATGACAAGTGCCTGTGAGTTATCTGTGCTGGTAGGCTTTCTTCGAGTCTCCTCATTGAATAAACTA